TATAGAATTTATATAGAAAATATATAATTTTACCAGTGTCCGCCCCCTTCCCCCCCCCCCCTTTAATGAAAATATCAAGTACCCTCCGGAGAAAAAAGTCTGGAGAGACAAAAAATCAGCGTCAACGAATTTACATCTTAAAAATAAAGCTTCATAAATTCCACTAAAGTGCGTTTATTGTTGTTGAAAAAAATAGGCTACATAAAAAAAGTATCGTTCCTATAATTTATTATTGAGCCTTATTACTATTAATTCCAATAATAATATAATTATATCGTAGATCTGTTTAATATGGGCCTATGTCTCACAGTGAAGTTACAAAAACGAACTATATTTTCCCTCGGAAGCGAGAGGCGATGTGGTTTGTTTACATTCACCTCAGCTGGTGGGCGAGTACTTCTTTATCCGAGCAGTGACTGGACGTGTAGATCTATGTGCCAGTTCGCATTTTGAACTTTTCAGTTTCTTTTCCACTGGAGAGTAAATTCAAAACGTGTTGTGCATTTTTTTTATGTGAACAAATTTAAATACATTCGTCCTTTGTGATTTTTAAAAATTAAGCGTAGACATGTAAGGGGAAAAAAACTTGTTTTTAAAGTACAATAAGTAGTGTATCTATTGAGTAATTGATTTTAAATCTAGGCTATTACAAGACTAAGTCTAGAATCTATATTCTTATAACTACGCCTTTGACCTTTGAAAGGAGCAATCGAGTATTTACTAATGTATATCGAAATATACTAGCAAATGATAGTTATAAGGCCTATTAATTGTGGTGTGTGCATTTTAAATCATTGTAGCTTTACCTTTTGTATACGTTTTTGGTGGTTTCCGATTTCAATTGATAAAAATATAACCCAATCACAACCCAATGACCTAATTCTTTTGGGCGTTGGTCCAAACCAACTGAATCATTGACATTTATCTTGCTCTTGCTGAATAGACAACAATTCAGCGATATTACACGGCTTACACGCATTTTAATTGAATAAAAAAATTGTTTTTTAAAGAGGTGTGGATCCCTATAGTGTGGGGTAATGTGAGTTGTAGGGGTTCATCATTAGATGACATCATGCTCTCTTTTTTTGACAATTTTTACCACCCCCCCCCCCCACTCCCCACCGTCACATGTCGTCACCAAAAGCCAGACCAAAGCCAGATGTCACACCTCAGCCTACAACCCCTTCCCATCAAAATAGAATAGCAGTTTGGCCTAATTATTTTTTTTTAAAACATCCACTTTTTTCAATAAGTTATTGATTGAGCTCAACCAAGAGTAAATAAATCAAATATTTTTTATTACAATTTAAAAAAAAATTAAAACACGAAATAACGGCTAAAATTCAATTTCTAGCATTAATTTTTAAAAATGAAAAAACATGTGACGTCACACTATTTGAACCTTCCCCCCTCCCCCTCATCATCTCTTTTTGTCACAAAATTACGCACCCCCTCCCTTATGAGTGTGACGTCATTTATGGACGACACCTAGGGTTTTATGTTATCTAATACTAAAGGACAGTTAAACTAATTTTCAACCCATTTAATGGGGATGGCACCTGCTTAGTTAAGCTTGATTGACATATAGACTTAAAGGCTTATAAAACCCAGGTAGTTCAACCTACTATGCCACTTAAACACACGTCAATCAATTGAGTATATGAGGCGGGGGTGGAGAGAGAAAGAAATAATTTTTATAGACTTAATACCATCACCATTAGGGAGGCAGAGTTTCTTCCAGGCATCTCTTTCGCTCCCCTCCCCCCCCCCCCCACTTGAACGAAATAGAATTTATAAAGAAAAAAATCCCCCCCCCCCCTCCCGGAGAAAAAAGTCTGGAAGAATCACTGGGGGGAAGGGGGGATATGTCGATAGAGTGACGCTCCTAGAAGGAAATGGGATTTCGACTTTCTAGACCGAGTCACAAATTTGGAGGGGGGGGGATTAAAACTACTTATATGTGACAGTGGCATAGCGAGGTCGGGTGTCACCCGGTGCGGCACTTAATGGTGTTACCCCCCCCCCCCCCCCAGAGGCCTAGAGACCCTTCCCGGGGACAAACTTTCAAGTTTTCGATTTGCAAACTTTCGATTTGCACCCCCCTCAAGTTTTTTCTCTATATATTTTGCTATTTTTTGCCTTGGTGTTACCCCCCTGAATGGTGTCACCCGGTGCGGTCCGCACCTCCCGCCCCCCCCCCCCCCTCGCTACGCCCCTGATATGTGATGGAACATGTTTTCTATTTATATATGTACCATCCTTTAGCCCATATCTCAGAATATTTAACAAAACGATACTGAAAACATAATCGCAGATAATGCGTCTGTTTTTATAAAAAAAATAAAATAAAAAAAAAAACATATTTAACAACAACGCCACAATGGCAATGACGGACTCGATGGACGAGGTGGATTACGTCACCGTGGACTTCAACCAGCTGGAAGACAACAACTTCGACAGCTACGCCGCCAGCATCAGACGGCACCCACCCTGGCTGACCGAGGGTCATTTTATCTACCACCTGTGTAGGGACGCTGAGGGCAAACTCGGCTTCGTCAAGGACCGTCAGGGGGAGCCACTGTGTTCTCCGCGGTGAGTTGTCAGTTTTGGTCCTCGTTGAAAAATACACACGGATAACCCGGTGAGTTGTCAGTTTTTGGTCCTCGTTGAAAAAATATACAGTGATAACCCGGTGTGATGTCAGCTTTGGTCCTCGTTAAAAAAAATATTCTTGCTTGACCCGGTGAATTATCAGCTTTATTCACGTCATAAACCACATATGTCCACCCACTTTCTGAAATTTTTGAGTTAGTACCAGTGGCGTAGCCAGGATCGTCTCAAGGGGGGGGGGGGGGGAATTCCAATTTTTACCCGGGGACAAGCTTTCGATTTGCACCTCCCCCCCCCCCTCAGACTTTTGATTTGCACCCCCCCCCCCCTCAAACTTTCGATTTCCACCCCCCCTCATACTTTATATATATATAGAGGGGTCTATGGGGGGGGGTTATGACCCCCCAACCCCCCCCCCTGCCTACGCCACTGGTTAGTACTACTGTATATATATCACGTACAACTATATGAAAGCGTAAAACCATCTCAATCCCCTCAATATTTAGCGTTTTAAAATCATGTCACAATGTAACAACAAAGGATCTCAAAAAAAAAATCAAATCTTTCTCAAAAGTAGAAAACTGTGGTTTATCCTCCGTGGTTACATAAATTACCCCGGTGAGTCGTCAATTTAGTTCACGTTATATAATATACATGTACAACTCAGTAAGTTGTCAATTTTGACATTTGTGTTCACGTTATCTACTTGCATGATCGGTGTGCTGGCAGTTTGCATAGCCTACATTTTAAAACGAACATAAAATGTATGCAAGCATTTACCCTGCCTTTTCAATGATTCAAATATCAGGTTAGTCATTACAAATCTACAGACGCGATTTGAATACAGACAATCCATTTGTTAACAGTATAACATAGACTTTACAATTTATTCTTTTTATATATACCACCTCTTAGCCTATTTCTCCTTCGCTCCTACCCACTCCCTCCCTTCAACCCCCCCCCCCCCCCCCACACACACACTCATTCCTCCCTACCCCCCCCCCCCCGATCTAATCATTTTTTTTTCTCCAATCGAAGCCCATCATCTCAATGTATACTGCTTGACACCCAACTCCTCCTCCCCCGCCCCAATTTAACCAACCCCTTTCTCCAACCTGACCCCCATCTCCACCCTCTCTCCCTTTCTACCCCTCTCTCCCTTCTACCCCTCTCTCCCTTCTACCCCTCTCTCTCCCTTCTACCCCTCTCTCCCTTCTACCCCTCTCTCCCTTCTACCCCTCTCTCCCTTCTACCCCTCTCTCCCTTCTACCCCTCTCTCCCTTCTACCCCTCTCTCCCTTCTACCCCTCTCTCCCTTCTACCCCTCTCTCCCTTCCATCCCCTCCACACAACATTTTGACTACCAGTCCACAAGAACACCTATTCTCCCCCAGAAAGCTCCAAGATTTGTGCCAGTGTGAGATGGTCTCCCAGCACCAGAGGTTAGAGAGCCTGAAGCTGAACTCCCTGCCCTCTGACCTCTACCCCTGCCTCATGACCGAAGCCATCCTACAGAGGCAGCTCAAATCTATCGCCTACCTCGTCTCCACCTGGCCTTTTCCCCTACTTCACGTGCAGGTAACTCACGCGCGATCTCACTGCGCATGCGTTGTTTCGGTAGTTCTGTACTATCTCGTCGGACTAAACAGTATCGTAAGAACAGATTCGTCTAGAGACGGTATCTTAAAAATAGATTTGTATGAGTACAGTATCGTAAGATGCAAATGTGTCTAAATAAAGTATTGTAAGGAGACGATTGTATGAATAAAGTATCGTAAGAACAGATTCGTCTTAAGACTGTATCGTAAAAAGTAAATTTGTATGAATACAGTATCATCAGAAGCAGAGCATCGTAAGAACAGGTTCGTCTGAATACAGTATCGTCAGAGTTTCTTCTCCCCCCCCCCCCCCCCCCCCGAAACTTTTTTACCGCCCCCCCCCCCCCCCGCCCCGAACGAAATGAAATTTATATAATTTATATAAAAAATATATACTTTTAACAGTGTCCGCCCCCCTCCCCGAAAATTTCAAGTACCCCCCCCCCCCCCCCGGAGAAAAAAGTCTGGAAGAAACACTGAGTATCGTAAGAAGCAAATTTGTCTCAATACAGTATCATAAGAAGTAGATATGTCTGAACACAGTATCATAAATAAACAGATTCGTCTAAATACAGTATCGTAAGAACAGATTTGTATGAATAGGCCTACAGTATCATAAGAACAGATTTGTATGAATAGGCCTACAGTATCGTAAGAAGCAGCTAAACTCGAGTTTAGACAGAATCAGGTCTAAGAATAACACAGCTCGGATCATTGTTATATCTCCAGAATAGAGAGAAAGAGTGAGAGAGGGGGGGGGGGGGAAGGGCAATTTTTTGTCTTCAGACGGTACTGGAATCACGAAATATTGTATCCATTTCACAATTGATCTATTCGGGTAAAAAATCGTCCCAAAAAGCGTGACGTCATTTATGGATGACCCCCCCCCCCCATTAGTCACATTTTCGCCTTCCAATCTAAAGCCTAAACCTGTCAATAGTTAAGCTTAATCCCAACCTCCTAAGACTTGACTGAATCACCAATCGCCCCTCCTACAGAGCCTGATCCCCAAGGAGGAACTGATCTGTAACGACTTCCTGACGGTGCCACTGGAGAGTGGGGAGTGCATGTCTCTGATGGACAGCCTCTCCCTCGGGCTGCTCAACCTCAAGCCCCACTCCCGGCTCAAGTGTGTCAACTTCACGGGCTTCAGGCACGGTGAGCTTAACGGTGGGGGGGGGGGGGGAAGAAGGACGGGACTGGGAGCTTAAGGGTGGGGGACAGGGAGTTTAACGTTGGGGGTACTTAGAGTTTAACTTTGGGGTTACGGGGAGCTTAAGGGTTAGGTACTGGGAGCTTAATGGTGGGGGTAACTGGGAGCTTAAAGGTGGGGGTACTGGGAGCTAAAATGTGGGGGCACGGTGAGTTTAACGGTGGGGGTAACTGGAGCTTAAGGGTGGGGGTACGATGAGCTTAACGGTGAGGTACTGGGGGTTTAATGGTGGAGGCACTGGGAGCTTAAGTGTGGGCGTAATAGGGGGAGCTTAACGGTGGGGGTTTAACTATGGGTTTAAAAGGTTTGTTGAAGATGTGAGTTTACGATTTTAACATTCTCCATGTTGTATCTGACAGACCGTTATGTTAGCCTGACATTCTGTATGTTGTATGTGACAGACCGTTATGTTAGCCTAACATTCTCCATGTTGTATCTGACAGACCGTTGTGTTAGTCTAACATTCTCCATGTTGTATCTAACAGACCGTATGTTGTATCTGACAGACCGTTATGTTAGCCTGACATTCTGTATGTTGTATCTGACAGACCGCATGTTGTATCTGACAGACCGTTATGTTAGCCTAACATTCTGACAGACCGTTATGTTAGCCTAACATTCTCCCTGTTGTACCTGACAGACCGTTATGTTAGCCTAACATTCTGCATGTTGTATCTGACAGACTGTTATGTTAGCCTAACATTTTCCATGTTGTATCTAACAGACCGCAGGTTGTATCTAACAGACCGCAGGTTGTGCCGTGAGCTACTAAGGCTACCTATTGTGTGGATGTTAGTCTAACATTCTCCATGTTGTATCTGACAGACCGTTATGTTAGCCAAACATTCTCCATGTTGTATCTAACAGACCGTTATGTTAGCCTAACATTTTCCATGTTGTATCTAACAGACCGCAGGTTGTATCTGACAGACCGTTATGTTAGTCTAACATTCTCCATGTTGTATGTAACAGACCGTTATGTTAGCCTAACATTCTGCATGTTGTATCTGACAGACCGTTATGTTAGCCTAACATTCTGTATCTTGTATTTGACAGACCGTTATGTTAGCCTAACATTCTCCATGTTGTATCTGACAGACCGTTATGTTAGCCAAACATTCTCCATGTTGTATCTGACAGACCGTTATGTTAGCCTGACATTCTCCATGTTGTATCTGACAGACCGTTATGTTAGCCTAACATTCTCCAATGTTGTATCTAACAGACCGCAGGTTGTGCCGTGAGCTACTAAGGCTACCTATTGTGTGGATGTTAGTCTAACATTCTCCATGTTGTATCTGACAGACCGTTATGTTAGTCTAACACTCCCCATGTTGTATCTGACAGACCGTTATGTTAGCCTAACATTTTCCATGTTGTATCTGACAGACCGTATGTTGTATCTGACAGACCGTTATGTTAGCCTAACATTCTCTATGTTGTATCTAACAGACCGTATGTTGTATCTGACAGACCGTTATGCTAGTCTAACACTCCCCATGTTGTATCTGACAGACCGTTATGTTAGTCTAACACTCCCCATGTTGTATCTGACAGACCGTTATGTTAGCCTAACATTCTCCATGTTGTATCTGACAGACCGTATGTTGTATCTGACAGACCGTTATGTTAGCCTAACATTCTCTATGTTGTATCTAACAGACCGTATGTTGTATCTGACAGACCGTTATGCTAGTCTAACACTCCCCATGTTGTATCTGACAGACCGTTATGTTAGTCTAACATTCTCCATGTTGTATCTGACAGACCGTTATGTTAGCCTAACATTCTCCATGTTGTATCTGACAGACCGTTATGTTAGCCTAACATTCTCCCTGTTGTATCTAACAGACCGCAGGTTGTGCCGTGAGCTACTAAGGCTACCTATTGTGTGGATGTTAGTCTAACATTCTCCATGTTGTATCTGACAGACCGTTATGTTAGTCTAACATTCTCCCTGTTGTATCTGACAGACCGTTATGTTAGCCTGACATTCTCCATGTTGTATCTGACAGACCGTTATGTTAGCCTAACATTCTCTATGTTGTATCTGACAGACCGTATGTTGTATCTGACAGACCGTTATGTTAGCCTGACATTCTCCATGTTGTATCTGACAGACCGTTATGTTAGCCTAACATTCTCTATGTTGTATCTAACAGACCGTATGTTGTATCTGACAGACCGTTATGTTAGTCTAACATTCTCCCTGTTGTATCTGACAGACCGTTATGTTAGTCTAACATTCTCCATGTTGTATCTAACAGACCGCAGGTTGTGCCGTGAGCTACTCAGGCTACCTATTGTGTGGATGTTAGCCTAACATTCTCCATGTTGTATCTGACAGACCGTTATGTTAGCCTGACTTTCTGTATGTTGTATCTAACAGACCGTTATGTTAGCCTAACATTCTCCATGTTGTATCTAACAGACCGCAGGTTGTGCCGTGAGCTACTAAGGTTACCTATTGTGTGGATGTTAGTCTAACATTCTCCATGTTGTATCTGACAGACCGTTATGTTAGCCTAACATTCTGTATTATGTATCTGACAGACCGTTATGTTAGTCTAACATTCTCCATGTTGTATCTAACAGACCGCAGGTTGTGCCGTGAGCTACTCAGGCTACCTATTGTGTGGATGTTAGTCTAACATTCTCCATGTTGTATCTGACAGACCGTTATGTTAGCCTAACATTCTGTATTATGTATCTGACAGACCGTTATGTTAGTCTAACATTCTCCATGTTGTATCTAACAGACCGCAGGTTGTGCCGTGAGCTACTCAGGCTACCTATTGTGTGGATGTTAGTCTAACATTCTCCATGTTGTATCTGACAGACCGTTATGTTAGCCTAACATTCTGTATTATGTATCTGACAGACCGTTATGTTAGTCTAACATTCTCAATGTTGTATCTAACAGACCGCAGGTTGTGCCGTGAGCTACTAAGGCTACCTATTGTGTGGATGTTAGTCTAACATTCTCCATGTTGTATCTGACAGACCGTTATGTTAGCCTAACATTTTCCATGTTGTATCTGACAGACCGTATGTTGTATCTGACAGACCGTTATGTTAGCCTAACATTCTCTATGTTGTATCTAACAGACCGTATGTTGTATCTGACAGACCGTTATGCTAGTCTAACACTCCCCATGTTGTATCTGACAGACCGTTATGTTAGTCTAACACTCCCCATGTTGTATCTGACAGACCGTTATGTTAGCCTAACATTCTCCATGTTGTATCTGACAGACCGTATGTTGTATCTGACAGACCGTTATGTTAGCCTAACATTCTCCATGTTGTATCTGACAGACCGTATGTTGTATCTAACAGACCGTTATGTTAGCCTAACATTCTCCATGTTGTATCTAACAGACCGTTATGTTAGCCTAACATTCTCCATGTTGTATCTGACAGACCGTTATGTTAGTCTAACATTCTCCATGTTGTATCTAACAGACCGTTATGTTAGCCTAACATTCTCCATGTTGTATCTAACAGACCGTTATGTTAGCCTAACATTCTCCATGTTGTATCTGACAGACCGTTATGTTAGTCTAACATTCTCCATGTTGTATCTGACAGACCGTTATGTTAGTCTAACATTCTCCATGTTGTATCTAACAGACCGTTATGTTAGCCTAACATTCTCCATGTTGTATCTGACAGACCGTTATGTTAGCCTAACATTCTCCATGTTGTATCTGACAGACCGCAGGTTGTGCCGTGAGCTACTCAGGTTACCTATTGTGTGGATGTTAGTCTAACATTCTCCATGTTGTATCTGACAGACCGTTATGTTAGTCTAACATTCTCCATGTTGTATCTGACAGACCGTTATGTTAGTCTAACATTCTCCATGTTGTATCTAACAGACCGTTATGTTAGCCTAACATTCTCCATGTTGTATCTGACAGACCGTTATGTTAGCCTAACATTCTCCATGTTGTATCTGACAGACCGCAGGTTGTGCCGTGAGCTACTCAGGTTACCTATTGTGTGGATGTTAGTCTAACATTCTCCATGTTGTATCTGACAGACTGTTATGTTAGCCTAACATTCTCCATGTTGTATCTAACAGACCGCAGGTTGTGCCGTGAGCTACTAAGGCTACCTATTGTGTGGATGAAGCCAGGAGACAGACAGTCGGGGTACCTGCACAGTTTGTTACGTAAGATACTAGGTGAGTTGTTAGCTCAGTGGCTAAGATACTAGGTGAGTTGTTAGCTCAGTGGCTAAGATACTAGGTGAGTTGTTAGCTCAGTGGCTAAGATACTAGGTGAGTTGTTAGCTCAGTGGCTAAGATACTAGGTGAGTTGTTAGCTCAGTGGCTAAGATACTAGGTGAGTTGTTAGCTCAGTGGCTAAGATACTAGGTGAGTTGTAAGGTCAGTGGCTAAGATACTAGGTGAGTTGTTAGCTCAGTGGCTAAGATACTAGGTGAGTTGTTAGCTCAGTGGCTAAGATACTAGGTGAGTTGTTAGCTCAGTGGCTAAGATACTAGGTGAGTTGTAAGGTCAGTGGCTAAGATACTTGGTGAGTTGTTAGGTCAGCTTGGTCATTTACTGGGTCAATTGTTAAAATACTTGGTCAGTGGCTAAGATACTAGGTAAGTAGTTAGGTCAGTGGCTAAGATACTAGGTGAGTTGTTAGGTCAGTGGCTAAGATACTAGGTGAGTTGTTAGGTCAGTGGCTAAGATACTAGGTGAGTTGTTAGGTCAGTGGCTAAGATACTAGGTGAGTTGTTAGGTCAGTGGCTAAGATACTAGGTGAGTTGTTAGGTCATCTTGGTCGTTTACTGGGTCAATTGTTAAAAAACTTGGTCAGTGGCTAAGATACTAGGTAAGTAGTTAGGGCAGCTTGGTCAGTAGCTCATTTACTGGGTTAATGGTTAAAATATTGGGCCAGTGGTTAAAATACTGGGCCAGTGGTTAAAATACTGGGTCAGTGGTTGAAATACTGGACCAGTGGTTAAAATACTGGTTCAGTCGTTGAAATACTGGCCTAGTGGTTAAAATACTGGGCCAGTGGTTAAAATACTAAACCAGTGGTTAAAATACTGGTTCAGTCGTTGAAATACTGGGCAAGTGGTTAAAATACTGGGTCAGTGGTTGAAATACTGGACCAGTGGTTAAAATACTGGTTCAGTCGTTGAAATACTGGGCAAGTGGTTAAAATACTGGGTCAGTGGTTGAAATACTGGACCAGTGGTTAAAATACTGGTTCAGTCGTTGAAATACTGGGCAAGTGGTTAAAATACTGGGTCAGTGGTTGAAATACTGGACCAGTGGTTAAAATACTGGTTCAGTCGTTGAAATACTGGGCAAGTGGTTAAAATACTGGGTCAGTGGTTGAAATACTGGACCAGTGGTTAAAATACTGGTTCAGTCGTTGAAATACTGGGCAAGTGGTTAAAATACTGGGTCAGTGGTTGAAATACTGGACCAGTGGTTAAAATACTGGTTCAGTCGTTGAAATACTGGGCAAGTGGTTAAAATACTGGGTCAGTGGTTGAAATACTGGACCAGTGGTTAAAATACTGGTTCAGTCGTTGAAATACTGGGCAAGTGGTTAAAATACTGGGTCAGTGGTTGAAATACTGGACCAGTGGTTAAAATACTGGTTCAGTCGTTGAAATACTGGGTCAGTGGTTTAAATACTGGGCCAGTTGTTAAAATACTGGGCCAGTGGTTAAAATACTAAGCCAGTGGTTAAAATACTGGGCATGTGGTTAAAATACTGGGCAAGTGGTTAAAATACTGGGCCAGGGGTTAAAATACTGGGCCAGTAGTTGAAAAACTGGGCCAGTGGTCAAAATACTGGGCTTAGGTCTAAAATACTTGACCAGGCGTTAAAATACTGGGCCAGTGGTTAAAATACTGGGCCAGTGGTTAAAATACTGGACCAGTGGTTAAAATACTGGCCAGTGGTTAAAATACTGGACCAGTGGTTAAAATACTGGGCCAGTAGTTAGAATACTGGGCCAGTGGTTAAAATTCTGGACCAGTGGTTAAGATACTAGGCTAGTGGTTAAGATACTAGTTGGGTTGTTAGGATAATTGCTCACTTGCTAAAATACTAAATGCAGAGGCGTAACTAGGGGAGGCCGCCCTCATGCGAAGACCCTGGGTGGGGGGGGGAGGGGGTGGCAAAACGGGGTATTGTTGAATTATATAGTCTACAGTGTGTTTGATGAAAATAGAATGCTACTTGGCTTTGTAGCAGTGAGTGGTAAAAGACGCCCCGACCTTACCGACTTGGAGGGGGGTTGCGATCGTGAATAACTATACATAAATAGGGGTGGGCTCAAAATTTATAGTTCGCCCCGGATACGGAATGTGTCGCTACGCCTCCGCGGTTGATTAAATAGTTGATAAGTTGCCTAATTACAATTAATTAGCTCTTATAAACTATTATATTACCTGTATCCTTCCATAGATCTTAATTACATGTGATGTACAACTAATTTACTAAGGGGCCGTGTATAAATAATGCCTTGTATTTTTTTCTTCCCTCATATTTAAATAAACCGGGAGTGATCTCCCCTAAACTTTCTCGAATATTCTTATATAAAATAACAGGGGATGGGAACTCGGGCTATAGACATGATTTTTAATCCATTTTAAATACTTAAAGTTTTAAAAATAGAATAAAATCTCGTAGACAAATTAATTGCACACCAAGTGAACGCCCAATAAAAAAGCGCATAATAGTGCGCAATATTATTAGTACTTTTAAAATTTACATTAGTTTTTTGATAAATCGGAAGTAGCGTAAATTACTACTTCCAGTCAACGGAAATTACTCAAAATTTAATAGAAGGTAGAGAATTAGATCTTTTACTTACGTATGAAATTTCATTTATCTATCTGAAATAGTACTCAAGTTATAGGCTTTTGAAAAATTCAAAGTAGAAAAAGTACCACTTCCGGTTGTCGGAAATCGCTCAAAAGTTGATACGGATCTACGATTTTGATAAAATACTTATATATGAAATTTCATCAACCTAGCTGTAACGGTACTCAAGTTATCGTGTTTACACACGGACACACACACACACACACACACAGACACACAGACATACGGACAAGATTGCAAAATTATGTTTTTCCGTATCAGTGAGATGCAAAACGTCGAGATTTGCAAAAATCTCGATTTTTTTTTTTTGCACGATTACAAGACTTTCTCTATACTTCGTATATACGAGAAAGTAAAAATGACACAAAAAAAACTATCTAGCCCTTAAAAAACCAAATGTAGCGAAAATCAACTAAAATTGTTTTTATTTTACAAAAAATAAATAAACTGTATGCTATTTTACACTTGTTGAGACTTCCCTTAAAATAAACCGGGAGTGATCTCCCCTAAACTTTCTCGAATATTCTTATATAAAACAACAGGGGATGGGAACTCGGGCTATTGACATGATTTTTAATCCATTTTAAATACTTAAAGTTTTAAAAATAGAATAAAATCTCGTAGACAAAATAATTGCACACCAAGTGAACTAGTGAACGCCAAATAAATAAACCGGTAGTGATCTCCCCTAAACTTTCTCGAATATTCTTATATAAAACAACAGGGGATGGTAACTGGGGATATAGTTATGATTTTTAATCCATTTTAAATACTTAAACTTTTAAAAATAGAATAGAATCTCATAAAAAAAACATTGCGCACCAAGCAAACGCCGAATAAAAACGCGTATAATAGTGCGCAATATTATTAGTACTTTAAAAATTTACATTAGTTTTTTGAGAAATCGGAAGTAGCGTAAATTACTACTTCCAGTCAACGGAAATTACTCAAAATTTAACAGAAGGTAGAGAATTAGATCTTTTACTTACATGTGAAATTTCATTTATCTATCTGAAATAGTACTCAAGTTATAGGCTTTTGAAAAATTCAAAGTAGGAAAAGTACCACTTCCGGTTATCGGAAATCGCTCAAAAGTTGATACGGATCTTCGATTTTGATAAACTACTTATATATGAAATTTCATCAACCTAGCAGTAACGGTACTCAAGTTATCGTGTTTACACACGGACAGACACACAGACACACACACACACAGACATACGGACAAGATTGCAAAATTATGTTTTTCCGTATCAGTGAGGTGTAAAACGTCGAGATTTGTAAAAATCTCGATTTTTTTTTTTTTGCACGATTACAATACTTTCTCTATACTACGTATATACGAGAAAGTAAAAAGTGCACAATAGCGCGCAATATTATTAGTACTTTAAAAATTTACATTAGTTTTTTGAGAAATCGGAAGTAGCGTAAATTACTACTTCCGGTCAACGGAAATTACTCAAAATTTAACAGAAGGTAGAGAATTAGATCTTTTACTTACATGTGAAATTTCATTTATCTATCTGAAATAGTACTCAAGTTATAGGCTTTTGAAAAATTCAAAGTAGGAAAAGTACCACTTCCGGTTATCGGAAATCGCTCAAAAGTTGATACGGATCCACGATTTTGATAAAATACTTATATATGAAATTTCATCAACCTAGCTATAACGGTACTCAAGTAATCGTGTTTACACACGGACACACACACACACAGACACACAGACATACGGACAGAATTGCAAAGCCCAGTTTTTCAGACTGGATTACGCATAAAACCTCTTAATTTTGATAAATCTGGATTGATAATTTTTGCCCGATTAAAATAAGTCCTCTATACTTCGGATGTGATGAAGGACTGAGGTGTAATACGGTGAAAATTGTTAAAATTTCAAGTGATTTTTGTGCACGATTACAATACTTTCTCTATACTTCGTATATACGAGAAAGTAAAAACATGTGATTTGACCTACCCAAAGAAATTCCACTTGCTACGGCAGATGGCCGACTGCTTGTCAGCAAGATAAAAAACTTGGAACCAGTTCTGCGTTAAGTAATCAAACTTTGTTGATAATCGGATGGATCAATTTGTTTAGGAGAAAGTTGATTGGTTGTTTTGTTTTTTTTTAAACACGTGGTGAGCGACGTCATGCTGCCATCGTCTGGATCTAAATATAGAAGCCGCCTACATATGAGCCTTTAAAGGAAAATGTAATAAACAATTTTGTTCTTATAAACTGCGATTAGGGTCCGGTTTTTTTTTATTTTTATTTATTAATCTTAACATTTTTTACTTTAGCGCCAGCCCTTAGCATTGAAATCAGCAAGTCATACACACATATGTATAGGTTCAAACTCAATGAAATACAAGTTTAATTAAACTCGCTTGAAAGGGGGGGGGGGGTGAGAGAGGGAGGCGTACATCGTTAGATCTGGTGACTCCGTACATCACTTGACCCGGGGGGGGGGCATAACGTGTGCCCCAGAGCAGAGTTGTAGACTTAAGTAACATTTTAATACCTGATGGTCAATGTTATCTCTACAGTAGTAGCCACAGTACCGTCAGTATCTTATCCACCCGTCCCATGGACAGGGGCGATCACGATTGACCGATACTTAAAATTTACAAGTAAAAAAGGCTATTGTCATTTGACAGCTAATACAGTCATCCTTCAGTTTTCGCGGTTTAGGGACTAAAACCGAACGTGATAAGTGGAAAACCGCGAAGTAGTGCTGCCCTATCATTTTAACCATACATAGGCCTACATTTTGTGTGTATGTATGATATCAATAAGTGTATATTACACCATATCACATTATCGTTATAACATTAAAATAGTGTCAAACATGTAAATAAACTATTATTAATATAAATAACATTCATAAAACAATGTATCAATAATATAAATATATTTTGAATTTTTTATAAATATTTTTTAACAATCCGCGATGTACTGGAGTCGCGATAAATTATCCGCGAAGTAGCGAGGGATGACTGTAATCAACCCAACAGAGACATTTCCTCACATAGACTCAAACACCTTTCTCGTTGACTTTATTTCAGCTATCAGTAAGGACAAGGTAGAAAGGTATCTGAACAGAATCTCGTGTATTTATTCTAATATCGATCCCCTAGTCCGACACGGACATATGTTTGGTGAGTACACACTTGTATCAGGTACAGTATATGAGCAGCATGTACACATTGTCTTTTAATGTACTGTTTTATATGATACAGTGGCGTCATTAGGCAGGTTTCTTTATCATTAAGATTTACACACATTGTATGAAATTATAATGAGGATTCCTCATTATAATTTGACATTTTTGTTCCTTTTTTATGTCCACTTTGATGGTGTCACCTAATGAGGTCCCCACCCCCCACCCCACCCCACTCCCTTGTGACGCCACTATGATGCACTCTGTTGTGTCAGATCATGTACTCGCTGTATTCTTGTATTGTGGGCTGTACCAATCAGAGTTTTTTTCAGACTTCTCATCGGGGGGGGGGGGGGGGGGGGGTGGCGCCTCCACACCCCCACCCCCGAAGAAGATCTTACCCCACTCCCCCCAAACGAAATATAATTTATATGCAAAGTACAAAGGCCTACTTCAACACCAGTCTGCCCCACTCCCCTCCCAAAAAAGGTCTTACCCCCCCCCCCCCCATTGATCGAAATAGGATGTATATACAAAATATATACTTCATCGCCAGTCGTCCCCCCTCCCCCTCCGAAAGTTTCACTCCCCCCACCCTCCCGGGAGAAAAATCTGAAAGAAACACCTACATCAATTTTAATTCATGTCATAACATGTTGTGTGTAGGGCTTTAAGTTATCTCGCCATGTTTTGTTTTCGTGTCATTTGTACTATCCGTGTGCACTAAAACAACTCAGAGCGCACTGTTCAGCAAATGCCAGTTCTACCGCGCGTGGACCTGGCAACCGCGATTACTTTAAGGTTAGAACTGCCGCTACATCCAGTTTAAAAAAAAGAATATCAGGCAGGGTGTAGGAAAATCGTGTATCGTTACCATGTGGTGGCGTCTTGTCAAGCTCATAATTAACCTGCGCTTTGTTGGGGGGGGGGGGGGGGATTTAGAGCCTCGATCTAGAAGAAGGGACGGGGGGGTGTACATACATTATATCAAGACATTAAAATGTGCTGAGGCATATTTAAACAAATTAGAGACTTGTTGAATGTGGTAGAATGTGGACGAAAAGTACCCGCACATATTAATACCAAACGGAGTTGTTTATCTAGGCAACCTAATTATCACTACCACACACTAAAATATGTGTTTATTTGTACATTTGTAAGTTATTTCCTTTTTTTAAAAAATCAACAATGAAATAGATTTACGTACACACAGGTCTAGTGTTATGTATGCCATATTCACGTGTATATATGTGTGTATAAGCATGTGTATATGCATTTTTATTTCGTTTTATTTTGTGGGTGTAGGACCTGTTTAAAATTTTTGATGATAAGTACTTTTGGGCTGAACTGCGACATCTATTTTTATGTGTAAGAAAATGAGTTTAATTTTAAATAACCATTAATTTAACTGGCAAAAAGAATTTTTCTTATATAAAGTTTCTTTTTTTACTTTGGTTTCACCCCCCCCCCCCTTTAATGGTGTCGCCCTGTCAGCGCCCCAGCCCCCATTTCCTCCCTCGCGACGCCTGCGTGTACATACGATTCTGATTTGATGCACCATTTGTGTTACAATAAAGAACTGGATTCTGAATGTCCTGTGTGTATTGTTTGTAGATTTGATTTGGATTAAAATCATCCTAAAATTCACAACTAGTTGATGCCGGCGAGTGCTACCCCGTCTCCTGTTTATACGAGTGGGGCGACGGACCCACCGCTCCTCCCCTGGATCCGCCTTTGTGTTGTGGGCTTGTTACGCAAGGTGTTGGTGCACACAGCAGTAGTTTGGTGCAGAAATGTTATTTGGCTTACGCCTTGCTGACGGTTTTTTAACCTAAACATTACTAGCAGACTCTGGTGACTTCATCCTGGGCATGCGCAGAGAATCTTTGCGGGAATGAGGCGTTAGTCATGTCGTCGCGTTAGGTAGACCTATCAGTAGTATCAGCAATGTTCCATCTAAGCTGCGTGCTTGCGCGGCCGCACATTAGTTTTGAACCTGCCACGCAGTCCTTTTGTGAAACACATATATCCTTGTATAAGAATTTTAGAACACTGCGCACACAAAATACTCGTTGCACACTAGCTTTTTTCCCTTAGGGGTCGTCCATAAATGACGTCACACTCTTAAGGGAATGGAGGGGTCCGTTATTTTGTGACGGTGTGTGATGAGGGGGAGGGGGGGGGGGGGTTCAGATGGTGCGACGTCACACTTTTGCATGATAAAAAGCAATTTTAGAAAACGACTTTTAGACGTTATTTTGCGTTTTAGAAAACTGTTTTAATAAATTGTAATAACAATTGATTAAAATACTCTATTTTGACAGAGTTTCGACAAGATTTTAGAAAAATATAGCTGTTTAAAAAATATTCAATTCAATTTTGAGGGGGGGTGTAGGCTGAGGTATGACGTCATTTTAGGGGGGGGGGTCTGGCTTTTTGTGACGACGTGTGACGGAGGGGAGGGGGGGGGGGGAGGTAAAAATCGTCAAAAAGCGTGACGTCATTTATGGATGACCCTTAGAGGGAACAGTGCCTATGACGGAGTGAAACGTATTCTGTCTGATCAATCTTCTTCACCCGTGGATAGCTAATCCAAGGACTAGAGACAATTTATTATTGTTTTAAAAACAATGGCGCTTAACATCTATGTTGCAATTTTCCACAACTGAATGTTGAGTACCAAAGTGGCGAGCAGAGGTTTTTTTAGGCGCCTCTCCCGTGTGCCTTTCCACTCCCTGGGAGTACATCTTCACCCCCCCCCCCCCCCCACAATGAAATATATATATATATATATATATATATATATATATATATATATATATATATATATATATATATATATATATATATATATATATCTATAATATAATCGGGCTGAGCGTGTCCTTCCGTCCGTCATCGCTATAGATTTTGGGACTATAAAAGTAAGCTACGCACCATGCTGTGCTTTTCAGTGCACCGCAGTGTCTTATTATAAGTATTAGAGTAGGGTTTGTTTATATAGCGGCATAGAGCTAATTTATAATTTCCACTGTTTGTACAATTTTGCATAACGTAAAGAGAATATTAAATACACGCACATTGCTAAAACATATTAAAAGGATCAATGTCAAATATAGTTTTCGTTAATATTCCCAGAAAAAGTCGATACATATTAATAACATAATAACAGTACGGTAGAAAAATCTAATTAAACTGCTTAGTAATTATGCCAATGGAGGTAATTCAAAGATAAATTGAACTCACGCTAAAAATGTGAATGCAAAATCTGCAAGACGGAATAATTGTTGGAATAATATAATTAGCAAAATGTGAATGCAAATTATGCAGACATGTAAGAGTAGATTATTGTTGGAATATTATTATTAGCATTGATTGATAAAAGGCTATCTTTTATTTATTTTATTCACTGAATGTACTGTTTACTAATTATAATTTTTAATCAACTATTCTCCATTACTATATTAAGTCATCACGTTCATTAGGTGCGCAATGGTTTTAGTCATGAAACTTTATTGTAAATTTTTAAAAGTACTGAAAAAAATGCATGAATTTATAAAGTGCAATATGGTCGGTAAAACACGGATATTCTAAATACTGCCTTTAATTTATTTGCGGAAAAGCTAGGGGTTTTATAACAGAGGCGTAGCAAGGGGGGGGGGGGAGGGTGGAAATCGAAACTTTGAGGGAGGTGGGAGGGTGTAAATGGAAATTTTATGTTGAGTGTTGTGTTTGTTTTTTCGTTTTTGTTTTTTCTTTGCGTTCGTTTGTGTTGTATTTAGTTTTGTTCTGTTCCCAACTTGGTACATTTAAAAAAGATTTACCGTGTGTTGTGGTTGTGGTTGTGTTGTGGTTGTTTTGTGGTTGTAATGTGGTTGTGTTGTGGTTGTGTTTTGTTTGTGTTGTGTTTTTGTTTGTTTTGTTCTGTTCCAAAGTTGGTATATTTTAAAAAGATTTACCGTGGCGGAGCACGGGATACAGCTAGTATATATATAATCAGAGGCGTAGCGAGGGGGGGGCGGGGTGCGGACCGCACCGGGTGACACCAAGGCAAAAAATAGCAAAATATATAGAGAAAAATGATAATTCCACTTAATTAAGTGATTAATTCGAATGTTAAATAGTGTTTTAAGAGGTGGAAAACGAAAATTTGAGGGGGGGGGGGTGCAAATTGATAGTTTGATTGATGGGGGGGGGGGGGGGGGTGCAAATCGAAAATGGAAAGTTTGTCCTCGGGAAGGTTCGCTACGCCTCTGGGGGGTGACACCATTAAGTGCCGCACCGGGTGACACCCGACCTCGCTACGCCACTGTAAATAATTTGTATAGAAAATATAGATCTATTCTAACCAGTGTAGTCCGCCCGCCACCCCCTCTCCGGAAATTTCAAGTGATCTCCCCCGAGAAAAATGTTTTAAAGAAACCCTGAGTGTTGTGCCACAAGTTTAGTTCAAATATGATATAATCTCATGGTAGAATGTGGACCAAAAGTACACGCACATATTAATACCAAACCGAGTTGTTTACCTAGGCAACATAATTATCACTACCACACACCAAAGTATGTGTTTATTGGTACATTTGTAAGTTATTTCCCTTTTTTTAAAAATCAACAATGAAATAGATTTATGTACATACAGGTCTAGTGTTACATATGCCATATTCACGTGTATATATGTGTGTATAGAGTCGTTTCATATGACGTCACGTCCGTTCGTGATACCTACGTCCGCCGCCACGGTGGTGTACACCAGACGTAAACACAATCAGCTGTTCACCAGCGCTGGACGCGTTCACTGTATGTAAAGAACCGCACCCGCGGAAAAGGAAAAATACGTTAAAAAACTTGAACTCTTAGGAATTGAAGATCCTTATACTGTTATTGACAGTTTCGTAGATAATATAAATATATATATATATATATATATATATATATATATATATATATATATATATATATATATATATAATCAGAGGCGTAGCGAGGGGGGGCGGGGTGCGGACCGCACCGGGTGACACCAAGGCAAAAAATAGCAAAATATATAGAGAAAAATGATAATTCCACTTAATTAAGTGATTAATTCGAATGTTAAATAGTGTTTTAAGAGGTGGAAAACGAAAATTTGAGGGGGGGGGGGGTGCAAATTGATAGTTTGATTGATGGGGGGGGGGGGTGCAAATCGAAAATGGAAAGTTTGTCCTCGGGAAGGTTCGCTACGCCTCTGGGGGGTGACACCATTAAGTGCCGCACCGGGTGACACCCGACCTCGCTACGCCACTGTAAATAATTTGTATAGAAAATATAGATCTATTCTAACCAGTGTAGTCCGCCCGCCACCCCCTCTCCGGAAATTTCAAGTGATCTCCCCAGAGAAAAATGTTTTAAAGAAACCCTGAGTGTTGTGCCACAAGTTTAGTTCAAATATGATATAATCTCATGGTAGAATGTGGACCAAAAGTACACGCACATATTAATACCAAACCGAGTTGTTTACCTAGGCAACATAATTATCACTACCACACACCAAAATATGTGTTTATTGGTACATTTGTAAGTTATTTCCCTTTTTTTAAAAATCAACAATGAAATAGATTTATGTACATACAGGTCTAGTGTTACATATGCCATATTCACGTGTATATATGTGTGTATAGAGTCGTTTCATATGACGTCACGTCCGTTCGTGATACCTACGTCCGCCGCCACGGTGGTGTACACCAGACGTAAACACAATCAGCTGTTCACCAGCGCTGGACGCGTTCACTGTATGTAAAGAACCGCACCCGCGGAAAAGGAAAAATACGTTAAAAAACTTGAACTCTTAGGAATTGAAGATCCTTATACTGTTATTGACAGTTTCGTAGATAATATATATATATATATATATATATATATATATATATATATATATATATATATATATATATATATATATATATATATATATATATATATATATATATATATATATATATAATCAGAGGCGTAGCGAGGGGGCGGGGGGTGCGGACCGCACCGGGTGTCACCATTTAGGGGGGGGGGGGTGACACCAAGGCAAAAAAATAGCAAAATATATAGAGAAAAATGATAATTCCACTTTATTAAGTGATTAATTCGAATGTTAAATAGTGCTTTAAGCGGTGGAAAACGAAAGTTAACTGAAAGTTTGTCCTCGGGAAGGGTTGCTACGCCTCTGGGGGGTGACACCATTAAGTGCCGCACCGGGTGACACCCGACCTCGCTACGCCACTGTATATAATTTGTATGGAAAATATAGATCTACACTTTAACCAGTGTAGTCAGCCCGCCACCCCCTCTACGGAAACTTCAAGTGATCTCCCCAGAGAAAAATATTTTAACCCTTAAATGCATACCGGTACAAATCTGCAACATACCAGTTACCTTCCCATAAAATATTAGCCTCAACATGTTTTATTCTGTGCATCACGTTGTTTGACTGCTACAATGTTAACCTACAGCTTGCGCATGTCTAAGTGACCTAGATTTGTTTTACCGCCAAGCCGATCTCAAATTTGTGCATGATCACAAGGTTTTTTATATCAGCATTTTTGGTTGGCGTTTCAAAGTTCATCAAAGTCAAATAAACTGGTTTTGGAATTTCAAAAAATATGTTTCTGACAACCTAAGGTATGTATTACATATTGTATGTGTTGTTTTGAAAATCAATTCATAATTTATTTTAAAATCTTCACAAAACTTAGGTTGCAGTGCTGCAACGTTATGCAAATTGACCTACTTTTGCACTATTTTTTTACTTTATACATCAGCATTGGTGATTATATAGTACCTTGTTTTTCTTCTAGTTTCAGCATAATCATTAAGAAATCAATGTGAATCAAGGTGAAGAATAATATGAAGTAGATGATCTTGGTGATCCAGAGTATCTTCCTGGATCTCCTGGACCAGTGTGGACCCTAGATATCCTGGACCAGTGTGGACCCTAGATATCCTGGACCAGTGTGGACCCTAGATATCCTGGACCAGTGTGGACCCTAGATATCCTGGACCAGTGTAAACCCTAGATATCCTGGACCAGTGTGGACCCTAGATATCCTGGACCAGTGTGGACCCTAGATATTCTGGACCAGTGTGGACCCTAGATATTCTGGACCAGTGTGGACCCTAGATATTCTGGACCAGTGTGGACCCTAGATATCGTGGACCAGTGTGGACCCTAGATATCCTGGACCAGTTTGGATCCTGGATCTCCTGGACCAGTGTGGACCCTAGATATCCTGGACCAGTGTGGACCCTAGATATCCTGGACCAGTGTGGACCCTAGATACCCTGGACCAGTGTGGACCCTAGATATCCTGGACCAGTGTGGACCCTAGATACCCTGGACCAGTGTGGACCCTAGATACCCTGGACCAGTGTGGACCCTAGATATCCTGGACCAGTGTGGACCCTAAATATCGTGGACCAGTGTGGACCCTAGATACCCTGGACCAGTGTGGACCCTAGATATTGTGGACCAGTGTGGACCCTAGATATCCTGGACCAGTGTGGACCCTAGATATCCTGGACCAGTGTGGACCCTAGATATCCTGGACCAGTGTGGACCCTAGATATCCTGGACCAGTGTGAACCCTGGATCTCATGGACCAGTGTGGACCCTGGATAAGTGTGGACCCTGGATCTCTAGGACCAGAATGGACCATGGATCTCCTGGACAAGTGTGGACACTAAGACTCGTGGAATAGTGCAATGACAGGTGCAAATTCACATCAAGCTCAAACAGTTTGCCACAAGTGCAACATATATCTTTGTTGTAACAAGAGCAACAACTGTCTTAACAAGTATCACCTTACTACATAATGTTGCAGACATGCAACATTTCGGATTTTAATTAAAGAACATGTTTAAACTAAAAATATTTTTTTACTTGACTATACTCTTCATATACCCACCAAAACAATATAAAAATATTTTTTTCAATCATTATTAAAAAGTCATGCATTTAAGGGTTAAAGAAATCCTGAGTGTTGTGCCACAAGTTTAGTTCAAATATAATATAATCTTATGGTAGAATGTGGACGAAAAGTACACGCACATATTAATACCAAACGGAGTTGTTTACCTAGGCAACATAATTATCACTACCACACACTGTAATTTGTGTTTATATGAAATCAAAGATAGCACAGCTACAGATTTACTTATTTCCATGTAGTGTTAATTTATTAAATAATGTCTGCTTTCATTTAGTGCAGTATAAAGAGAAAAAAAAAACACGCGAATAAAAGTACGCAGTAGAAAGTTGCGCTTACAAAATATTGCGCAAAGAAAGCTCAGGACAAAATATTGCGCTAAGAAAGTTCCACAGAAAAAAAATATTTTTCAAAGAAAGTTCCTGAAATAAAAGTGTTTCGCAAATGGAACTCCACTCAAAAAGTATGGCGCGAGAAAAGTTTATCGTGGAACTAAATAAAAAGTGCACGAAAACAGTAAAATTGACATTTCAGAGCGCTCACAATGCGCACACAGAAACAAGCGTGACAACAAAAAAAAGCAAAACTCGTTTTGTTAATATGCCTGTCCTGTGGTCTCACAAGTTACAATGATCATAGATTGGCTAAAATTTAGTGTTTCGTGTTGTTTTTACTGATTTGTATACTAACAAAAAATAGCAACTCTCATTTAAAAAAAAAAGGCGCAAAAAAGTCTAATCAAGGGTGCCTAAACATACTGTTATATAGATAAATTAAATATGCTACTAACTAACATTAAATTATTTTAGCTTATAACAATAAATATATAATTAACGCATTGTGCATGCATGCCTGTACTTGTCGTATATTTTAATCAACCAATCACACATCTCTCTAGGCCCAGTGACAATAGCGCTTGATTGCAAGCTAACCATAGATGACGTTCCTATTGGACTAGCTTTACAAGGCTCCTCCCCTTTCCGCTTTGTGTGTCAGAGGGCGTGGCTTGAAGTTCTGCCGGACGTTAGCCTGCCAGTTTCCCTAATCAACAAAGTTTTAAGTCCTAGAGTACGTTTTATCAAATCCCATTGAACGTTTTATCATCAACCACTACTAGAGACTGACCATCAACCAATCTAAGAGTTCGTTTCATCATTAACCAATCCAAGAATTCGTTTCATCACCAACTAATCTAAACGTCTTATCATCAACCAATCATCTAGGGTTTAATTAGTTTAAAAAAAGAGCATACAAGTTTACCCCGCAAACTACAAGACCCGTTGTTATCTAATGTTAACGACTTGAAATAAAAGGTTCTATCCTGTTTTTATGCTAGTGTTTAAAGGAGTTAAAATCTATATTAAAAAATTAACAAACTTTGTTGCAGGCAACACAGTAGTTGTGCATATAGGGACACTATTTATTATAAACCAAAAAATGTATACGGGGTCATCCATAAATGACGTCACGCTTTTTTGGACGATTTTTACCTCCCCCCTCCCCTCCAAAAAGCCAGACCCCCCCCCCCTAAAATGACGTCACACCTCAGCCTACAACCCCCCTAAAAGTTGCAGTTGAATTTTTCTTAAAACATCGATATTTTTCTAAAATCTTGTCTGAACTCTGTCAAAATAGAGTATTTTAATCAATTCCTATTGCAATTTATTAAAACGGTTTTCTAAAGCGTGAAATAACGTCTAAAATTCGTTTTCTAACATTGCTTTTTTATAATGCTAAAGTGTGACGTCGCACCATCTGAACCCCCCCCCCCCTCCCCTCATCACACACCGTCACAAAATTACGGACCCCCCTCCCCCCTACGAGTGTGACGTCATTTATGGACGACCCTGAACGCGGCCCCAGTCAAATATATTGTTATAATAACATTTCATTGAAGCACCAACCCTAATAATAATATAATATGTCACAATAGTAACACACCAGCACTGAGCACACAATTTTTTTTATGGATTACTACAACAACTGTCGTTTTTTTTTTTTTTTTTTTTTTTTTAATTAATGACATCCTACGTATCAATCATTTTAGAAAAAACATCATGGGCTACAACTCCATTCAGAGCATTTATAACAAAGCTGTATGTTGTGATCAAATGATAAAGTAATGCTAAAGTAAATACATGCGTAAGACAGCTGTGGCATCACGCTCATCCCACTTTTCTACATGGCAAAATAATATTTATAACTCCGAGGACATAAAATAAAAAAGTGTTATAGAGCATTGCCAGAGTTTCTTTCAGGCTTCTCTTCAGAGTGGCAACCCCCCCCCCCCCCCTTGAAGCAGACCCAGTTCCCCTTCCCTCTTAAATCAAGAGAAAAAAAAACATTTGAAATAGAAAATATATACTTTAACTTCCGCCCCCCCCCCCGGAAATTTAAGTGCGCACCATCTTAAAGTTTAAAGCGCCCCCCTCTGAAAAATATCTGAACGAAACACTGGACACCGCTCTATATGTAACCCCCATCCTTACCTTTATAACTCGATAATGTAATGTAACCAAACCTTCGCATTAAGCTTAGTATTTATAATACTGTGCGAGGTCTATTATACTTTAAAATGGATAATTTGTCTGCGCAGTATCTAACGCACATCGAGATCGAAGACAGCGAAGTCTGCTCAGACTCGGCTCGCTGGGAATGTCTGTTGGAGGGGATCTCCCTTCTGCCTGAGCTCCAATGTCTTTCTCTACCCAACTCCATCCACGTCAATCAGCTGCCTACAGCCATGTCTGACCTAAGTGTTGTCCTCAGGTCTCTGGGCAATCTAAGAAAGGTAGGTGTTTTTTTTTTTAAATACTTTTTGCTGTTTGCCTATTTTAACTATTTAACATCCTATAGGCTCATTTTTTTTAAATAACCGTTTAATAGGCTACTTCTGATTTTTTACATTTTTAAACTTCCAAACAGTAGGCCATATTCTTATTTTCTTGATCGTTGTAAAATAAAGGTAATTTTTTTTAAGCTGTGATTGTTTCGGAAAACTGATTCGCTCCTCAACATTTTTACTTTGTGCGGGAAAATGGAGAGATTCGTTTAATTACCGAAAGTCACATGTCTGACAAAAGCATCCTATATAAATCTAAATCTTTGGCGTAAATCTTAAAGTAAAAATAATTAGAAAAAAAAAGTTTTTCTTATAGATTAGGATTAAGTCAAATTGCTCATCAATGGAAAGAGAAGGATGGAGTAATAAATATGTCAACTAATCGAACTTTCCCCACAGCTGAACCTGGCATCATGTACACTGAGGGACACGCTGGGACATCTGTTCTCGTCTTTCGCCTGCGAGTTGACCTACCTCAACTTGAGGGACTGCAGGCTGACAGCGTCAGACATCGAGGCGCTTCTCGTCTGGTCCAACCTTTCCATGCTCAGAGAACTGAACCTGAGCAGGAATAATCTCAGCTCTCTTTCTGATCTGGTAAATTTTATAATTATTGGTATCAGAGGCGTAACTAGGGGGTGCAGTAGCTGGGGAGGGGTGCCACCAACATGAGAAGGGACAGCAACCAGATACTATTAATTTAACTCAATAGTTAATACAGCTGTAGGTAGTCTGTTTTATAAATGGGCAGTGTTACCATAGCAACAAAACCATAATGTGTTTAAAATTTAAAAACTGATAATAATAATTTAAATTATAACTTGCCTTAGTGTCATTTAGTACATAGGTGAAATAGTTACAGAAATACTTTATTGATTATAAAAAAAATTATAATAGACCATTTTTAAAAAAAAACATTTTAATGGTAAATTTGTTTTTAATTTAAAACTGCCTCAACAGATTGAAAACATGTTGACCCGAATGAACTTCATTTCCTGTTTTTCCATCTCCTACTGTTCCCTATCACTGGAAGGGATAAGAAAAGTTGTGCGTCATTGTTTGGACTGTCCATACTTGAAGGTTTTGTGTTTACAATCCTTTATTCCTCCACCGCACTATGAGGTAATTTTTTTTAAATCTTATTTTATTTATTATATGATTTTATGATTTTTATTTTTATTATATGATCTATACATCTGTTTTTACTCATTCAAATTTATTTATTAAAGCAACTTTGTTTATAATTTTAGGTTACATTTATTTATTACATTTATTCAAAGTTTTTAATGTTCTTCTATCAATTATTTTTACTGCTGCATTTAAAATTCATCTCTGAATAATAAATCACTCAAACATGTTTCTACTTATTGCACAGGTGAAAGCCATTTTAGAAGACTGTGCCAATATCACCACTCTACAAAAATGTGTTTTATTGCCAGAGGCATATGCCTTTCCTGGTACACATATCTCTCAAAGGGCAGAGAACCACAGCAGGACTGTTTTGCTTTGTTCCCAGTATTTGGATCAGCTTGGCAGGCCAGATATTGAACTTGAATGAAACAGGTGATCAAACTAGCAGTAAGCTGTTAAAGATCAGATAAAAATGCTGTGGCCAAATTCTGCTGTCACTTGTACATTTTGGCTTTTTCCAAGCCAAACCTGGGTTTTAATGTACACTTTGGTCAGCCTTTTTGTTTTTGCAGTAAAATGCAAATCTGGTGAAATTTGAAACATAAAACTATTCAAAGGAGGCAATTTTTCTGAATAAAAAGCCCCAAATTAAATGCTTGTCAACAAGTATATTATATAGATCCTGAAAATAAACTTTTCTCACATTACTGATTTAAACCCAAATACCATAAAACGAATTTTTAAAAAAACTGTGATACTATTTTTAGCTCACACTGAAGCCACAACTTATGTTGAGCTTGTTACACCGGCATGCAGATTTGCAAGCCTGAACCGCTTTAATAAAACTTTAGCGTCCTGTGTTTATTAGGCTGTTTCCATAGCTGATCAATCCTCTTTCTACACTTGCTGTATGAGCTAACTTAGCTGAGAAACTAATTCTCAATATTTGATGAAGCATGTTTCCTACTGTCAACCCTTATGTTTGCTTGGTTTACAAGGTTGATTAAAAAAAAATTCTGATTTGTATTTCTTCGTTACTTTCATTTTAGAATTATGAAGTTTTAAAAAAAAAAAACTATTAGATTTGTAGTTGTTCATGAATCTGAAATAATGGCGTTAAAGAAATAACTTCCAAAGCTGTACAACTTTTGAAATAAAATACCAGTACGACCAAAAGACTACTTGTAAGAAAACTGTTAAAGAAAATAAATGGTTTAATAGTAGATGAACCACCCAAATTCTACACAACTAGTCTTGTGTATTTAAAATTCAAAGCATTGTAAAAGGTAACTTGTAAAAATTAGTAGATTTATGTAGACAGACCATTTTTACATTTACAAACAGGAAAAAAGAAACGAAGATTTATTTTTTTGTAAACTTAAAAATTTATTTTTTTGAGAAAAACAAAATGACGATGTCTATAAACTATGGGAGAACAAATCTTGATGCTTCAATATGATGATGGAATGAGATTTAGATAAACCCACATACAAACAGACTGTCACTAGAAAAGGACAAGCAACATTCACACAAAACGTCCATCAAATCAACAATTCCCCTTCCTTAACTTTAAATAAATAATGATCTCATCTAGTTCTCTATTACATAGCTGTTTTGTCACCAAAGAATTACAATGTTCTGCCGTCACCCTAGAACTACAGTGTTCTTATCACCTTAGAATTTCAATGTCCTGACGTCACCCTACAATTACAATGTCCTGACGTCACCCTACAATTACAATGTCCTGACGTCAACCTAGAATGACACATTTCCTAACGTACTTAATATAGGTTAACTAAAATCTTATAACTTTAATCCACCTGCTAAAGTTATTAATTCATACAAAGTCTAGCAAAGTCAGGTTCAATGTTAACCCAAAAAAGGGGAAACATTTATTAAATTTTTGACAGACCTTATACCCACACTCCAAGTAATCCTTTGCTACTTTACCTTCACACGAACTTTTATATTCAAGAAAACGGGTTACAAAAAACAATTCCAAGAGTATTACATACCATAAATTTGAGACAGCATTCAGTTTAAAGTGAGACCAAACTGTGTACATTATTAACAACTAAAAATGTATTTGATAGAAAGAAAAAGTACCATGATATTTTATTTACACTAAAGAAAAAAAACAGCAGCTTTGATTAATACCATGATAATTCTGTCATGGTTTTACATACAAACCAATTTTAAGACTTCATCTCCTTAAAGCTAAAGTCAATTAGAAATGACATTTTTTTAAAAATTATTTTAAACCCTTTAGCATCATATTTTTCTGGCATTACTTGCCATTTACAAGATCTAGTAATAGACTCATTCCCATTGTTCTCATGTTCTATTTCTTCCATTTCTGTCAAGTTTGTTTTTGCCATTCTAGGCAGTTATTTAATCTTGCATATTGACACAATTGTCCTGAATGTAAATCAACACAGTGATTAGCCAGAGAGAAATGAGAATCAAGTTTAATTAGTTGAAACATCACTGGCCAGGATCTTCTCAACAACAAAAATGAATTCAAAGGAAATTATTTTTTCACAGGACAAAACTTAAACATTTTTAAAGAAGAGTTCAGTGCAGAAAATACATTTTTTTTTACTATTGGCTGGCATAAATTAAAATACAGGGGCAAGAACATGTAGCTGACTAGTGGCATGACGCTATGTGTAGTGGACTAATGCAAAGCTGCTTAGTGACCAACTCCGTGAACTAATGCAAAGCTCCATAGTGACCAACTAATTGGACTAATGCAAAGCTGCTTATTGACCAACTCTGTGGACTAATGCAAAGTTCCTTAGTGACCAACTAACTGGACTAATGCAAAGCTGCATAGTGACCAACTAATTGGACTAATGCAAAGCTGCATAGTGACCAACTAACTGGACTAATGCAAAGCTGCATAGTGACCAACTAATTGGACTAATGCAAAGCTGCATAGTGACCAACTAATTGGACTAATGCAAAGCTATATGTCACTAATGTCAATAAGCTCCAATTCAAATTTAAAAGCATTGCACCTTTAAAAAAGCATTTTGAAAGAAAACTGAAGGGCAGGTTTTAAATTTACATTTTTTTTTAAATAAATAAATGGTAAACTAGACTAGAATTCCATCGACAAAAATTTTGAACTAAATTACCTCGTAATCCGATGGAGGAATAAAGGAACTAAAATATTCGGTTTGTAGTTGCGATCTCCCAACACCCCACACCCACAACCCCATATTAAAAATTGGTGTTAAAAATTTAACTAACGTACATAATAAAAGCTGAAAGAAATAGATGAGATGTATGTTAACATATTCCTCATGACAGTAATGATTTTTGTCTTGTGGGTCTATCATCAAACTTCCTCAGTCCTACAAACTATGTCCCCCTTCATAATATGTATAAAAAAAAAATGACAACACCTTTAAAATGCTAAAAGAATGAAATATTTTTAAAATGCACAATATGGGAGAGGGGCAGCAAATAAAAACACCAGATATGTTTGAGATGACCAATGGTCAGTAATCAGAAATGGGCCAGGTGATTCACAGCACAATCACATCAAAGCCAGGTATCACAATAAATATGACGTACATATTGCACCAAAAAACTATTTACAATGTCTTCAACTAACTGCAAGAAAATAGAAACATTGGAAAATTATTGAAATTAAAAACACTGACAATGCTAAAGTGAATACACTGTTGAGGGGGGGGGGGGGGGGGGAGACAGAGTACACAAGTCAAAAATATATGAACAACATTAATTAAGGGTAATTATCTATGTGAATGAAGAAATATAAGGAAGTTGTCTATTTTTACCTTATGATGTAACGAATTTATGCATGCATTTAAAAATATAAAAGTTCTGTAAGATTTTCAAAAAAAGTATAAATAACTCAAGTTTTTGTTTTCTTTTTAAACCATTGTTAATTAAAATATTGTTTTTTTTTTTTAAATTAACTTTTCAGATGACATAAAAAAGTGTTTTTTTTTCTAGCGAAACTTATCTAGGAAAAATAGTTGCTATTGGCCAAAAGCAAAACAGTAAAACAATTATTCAATAATTACTAAGTAGATTGTTGCAAACTTTCTACTTCAAATGTACTAATGACATGGAAATAATGCAGTTATAGTTATGAAAGAACATGCATCGAAACAACACCAAAAAAGATGTGATTATTAAAAATGACTACTGTTTCTCATCAAAATTGTGATTATCAAAATACAACTTGTATATTTTACCAATAGCTTTTAATCAGACATAGCAGTAATGTTGCTACACTTAGGTTGGATGAAAGATTCTATCATTTTTAGTACTCTTAGTTTCAGATGGCAGAACAAATGGAGTACAGTAAAATATCTCTCTATACAAGTCTGACTTTATAGTTAGAACAAATGTAAGATTACAGTAAAAATGTTTTTCTCCATACATGTTTGACTATTTCATTAAAACATTTAAGAAACAAAAAACTCACTTAAAAGCTAGCTGCCAAATTGTAGCATTTCATATAATTAAGGAGAGAAAAAAAAAACTTTTTGACTAACCTTTTTAAAAATTAGTCAAAATCAGAAAAGTAATGTAATGCATGACATACGTTTACAAAAGAAAAACATTCACAGCTCCCTTCATGTATTGAAGGATAATTCACATTCACACAAATAAAAAAAAAAACAGTACAGTTGTGATACAAATAAGAAATGATATTTTGATTTGCATTGGAGTTGTACGAAGGGAAGAGGATGAAAAAATGAGATTCAGGCCCATTACGGTTAGTCAGGTCTGCCAGGGAATCATGAACTAATTTCTTCAAGCCCTGAAATGTTGATCAATGAATACATGTAATCGACAGTTGAAGAATGGCATTGATTTGGTGGTTTTAAAATGTGCACATTTAATTTCGTATTTAGCATGACATGTTTTTTTATTCAAATTTGTAACTACTTGTTACTAATTACAAACTTTATCTAAGGAAAATGTTTTGAAAAATTATTGCATTGAAATTACTTATTTACGAGTTTATAAAACAAGTTATTGAGTAAAAGATTGTTGAACCCCCACCTATACAGGGATGTTACTGAACAAGTGTCTCCTATTATACAATGTAACGCTACACAAACTTTAGCTTGATGATTCACTTAAATGCTAAATCTGTTCATGGTTAAAGCCTCCAGTAAATGAATCCAACAAACAGCATCCTGATTGGCCAAGACATTTCTATTCTCACAACAAATGTCTGCAAGGCCAGTTGTCATCTATTCTCACAAAAGGTGTCTGTACAAATTATAACCAACTAATAAAACATACAACTATTTAGTTTGTAGAGAACTGCTTTAATATTTTACAACTCAGCTGTACAAATTAAATATCCATTTTATTTTTGCTCTCAGGCATTATTCTTTAGAAGTTTGCAGATCATCTTTAATTATATACACAACCATTGTATGAATAGTGCTTCCTTAGGACACGCCTCCTGTAGAATAGATTCTTTAATGGATGGCTGGTAGCTGTTCTTCAGCAAGGTTTTGCTACACAACTAGGTGAAGTAGAATACTGAATAAATTCCTAGCCAGCAGTCTTCTGGAGCTGTGTAACACTAAATGACAGTTAGCTGTCATTTGGAACAGCTTAAAAACTGAATGACAGATGAGATTTCCAGCTGTTAATACAGTGAATAACAACCAGCTGTTGAAACAAAATGACATGCATCTGTCAGTAGGAGCTGTTGAAACAAAATGACATCCAGCTGTCATTTGGAGCTATTAAACCAAAATGACACCCAGATGTCATGTGGCGCTGTTGTTACACAAAACGCCAGCCACGGTGGATCTGCGTAGATGCTACAACTGCAGCTGGTACCTCTGGTTGTCAACATGCAGGTTCTGGTGGTGTCTGTCAAAGTGTACTCCATCTGAGGTAAGGATTGATAACCTGCTCTCCACTGATTTTCTGTCTAAAAATTCAAATAGAAAATACCATTAGATAATTATTTTAAAAATCTATTTAGTAATAATTTGTATGCAAATTTTTCACATAATAAACAGTACTAGTTATTTTTTATCAACAACTTCTTTTACTATTGGATGAATCTGACTAAAAATCATATGAATTTTATTAATTCACAAAAAAAAAATTTTTAAATTTATTTAAAATAATCATTTATAGTAGTATAATTAAAAGTTTGCAATTTAAATATGTAGACTGTTTTCAAAACTTAAAATGCATCTAAGGCTCTAATTAAATTGAGTTAAGTAGATTTTTGGAAGTGGCTAACATGGCGTGATCGGATGGTAGAGCTCACAACTGCTAATCGTAAAGTCTAGGGCTCTAATCTGTAGGATGTCAATGAGTAAGCCCAGCTCTGATATGGCTACCTAACTCACGTTAGGGAAACGAGCTCATGCTGACCATGGCTGTTGGAATAGATAAAGTCTACTTCATCTGCACCATGTGTCTTGTGGCACAAATGTGAAAAAGTGATGAAGTGTGTACTCACATTTGATTAACATGTGCTTGTCGTTCTCATTACGGGCTGTCTGGGCCAGACTGTGCAGCAGAATCTGAGCCACCTGGTAGCGCCGTACAACCTCGGATGTGTTCTCTGCTGATGGGTTCTTGGAGCACTCATCTAGAGCTGCTGTCTGACACTAGAGACAAAGGATTTACTTTATTTATTTAGTGAGGGAGTCTTACATGTTTATAGACAGGTGTAGGTAAAACAGTAAACAACCGTATTCTAAACAAACAGAAAAATGCACCAAATAATGAATATGTGTTAAAGACATTATGCTTCTAGAAGGGTCATAAATTTTATTTGGTAAAAACTATCATATAAAAACTACATATAATGTGACCTACGTTGGTGTATAAAAACAAAAAAGTACTTCACTATTAACTCTTTATTTTATTGATGATAATGTGTCATTTTTATAACTGATTTACTAAAGGTATTGCAAGGTAACACAAGGCTCAATTTATTGTTTATTTGATAGTATGAAACTTTTTCACTGAAAGACAACAAAAGTTGGTCATATACACTTATAACACAACTTGAAACTTGATTACACCCAAATTTCTCACAGATTAAGTATGTGTATGAGTGTGTATGTTTTACTTGATGTACACAAATATTTGTAAAAGACTCACCATATGTATTGCTTGATTGTATATAAGTTTATCTGCTGTGGCCATCACAAGTTTCTGAGTGAGTGGGGTCTTGCAGTTCTGTGTGAACTCCTTGTGAATGGTCTTACATTTGTCAACCACATGATGGTAGTAGGTGTTCATCTCACTCAACACTGCAGATACAAATAGGTCTGTTGATTTTTCTTAAGTAACCAGGCACATATTACTTTAAAATTTTCAACTTAAAAATATATGAAGGCAAATTCTAGAAAAATGGGGGGTTTTTTGTGCTCCAACAGCTAACATTCACATTTTTTTTTAAAATTCATTTTCAAATAAACGCAAAGAAGCAAGTATGCTCCACTTTGTTTCATAAGTGGTCAATCAGAAAGATAGAAAAATAGAGTATATCTATTTCTGTAACCACAGCATATGAAGTGAGTGTATGACCTGTACAAAACCATGCATTATCAAGCTGATGGTATCTTACAGGTTGTTACAAGATATTCTTAGACTTTCAAGTTAAGCCAGTTAGATATTCTACTCCCTAGACCACGCAACACCCTAACTTAATATGGTAGTAAAGCTACAACCTCACCACCCCCCCTTACTTAACATGACAATAAAGCTACAACTATGCCACCCCCTAACTTAACCTAACTGCATCCTAACTTAACATGATCGTAAAGTTAAAACCAACCATTTCTGAGACTGGTGGACTGTTGTAATCTGTCGTTCCTGATCTCATCCCTGGCCATGTGTAGTGCTGAGTTGAGCAGATGACAGGAGCGAGCATACAGCACCAGCTGCTCCAGGCTCCTCTGGGAGGACCTGTACTGGCTGTAGTACTCTGGTGACAGCTGCTCCACCTGGTGGGGGGGGGGGGAAATAAAATTTGGATTAGAACATTTCTAGAATATTATTAATACATCATAACAATTTTAAAAGCATTTTTTTTCATTTTATCCGCTTGTAATGAAATAATATTTAAGTTAGGCATGAGTGTTTTGACTTTTGAACAATACAAGAAAGAGAAAATGTGTATTTTTTAAGAGTAGAAACAAACAATATCAAGTAACTTAGAGATAGATACAAGGGATATTTTTAATTGAACAAATAAGGTGATATTAGCAGAAAATGAATTTTTTTTTAAATAATAAGACAATAGTTATAAGTCTGAATTAAATAATGTTTTAGTAATAAAAATGTTTTTTTTTTCAAGGAAGATGTTTTTTCTTTAATTTTAGCATTGGGACTTGAATGATTGTTAAAGCTCTACTGGATTTTTTTGTTTGGCCACTAACCTTTTTAGTTTCACCGGGATCAATACTGCGGAATGCACTGCCCAAACTTCTGGCCAGGTCCAGAATACATTCAACCAGGTCTAGGACAAATGACAACTTGCCAAGAGTCTCATTGTGGTTGTCCTGAGGAGATGGTTTGTTAAAAGGTTATTGAACTTCTAGGATTATAAAAAGTAGCCTTTTGTCATTGTAAAATTAATACATTTGGATTCAGACTTTACTATCTCAAATTACTAACAATTTATTTTATAACGAGTATTATAAAACTTACATCCATTAAAGTTTCTTCTGACAACGGCTGGGGAACAAATCTCAGGGGAGGGGCATTTGACCCTGCATTTGGAGGGGACGCCGACATTAAAATGTGGTGCGGGGGTGACATTTCAATGGCGCTGTTCCTCCGACCAAACGAGGGGGAACGATCTCTTTCCAGGGAGCCAAACCTGGCCTTGTCACTGTCCACAGAAGAGATTCTCTCCCTGCTGCCCCCATAAGCTATCATCATGCCTGGCGGAGCAAACAAAAACATACATTCAGTTTTAGCCCAACTTTGATGCATAGAAAATAACACATACATTCAGTTTTAGCCCAACTTTGATGCTTAGAAAATAACACAGACATTCAGTTTTAGCCCAACTTTGATGCTTAAAAAACAACACAAACAGACATTCAGTTTTAGCCCAACTTTGATGCTTAAAAAACAACCCATTTAACAGACATTTTAGCCCAACTTTGATGCTTAGAAAACAACAAAAACAGACATTCAGTTTTAGCCCAACTTTGATGCTTAAAAAACAACACAAACAGACATTCAGTTTTATCCCAACTTTGATGCTTAAAAAACAACCCATTTAACAGACATTTTAGCCCAACTTTGATGCTTAGAAAACAACAAAAACAGACATTCAGTTTTAGCCCAACTTTGATGTATAGAAAACAAAACAAACAGACATTGAGTTTTAGCCCAACTTTGATGCTTAGAAAACAACACACAGACATTGAGTTTTAGCCCAACTTTGATGCATAGAAAACAACACACAGACATTGAGTTTTAGCCCAACTTTGATGCATAGAAAACAACAAAAACAGACATTCAGTTTTAGTCCAACTTTAATGCTTAGAAAACAACAAAAACAGACATTGAGTTTTAGCCCAACTTTGATGCATAGAAAACAACAAAAACAGACATTCAGTTTTAGTCCAACTTTAATGCTTAGAAAACAACAAAAACAGACATTCAGTTTTAGCCCAACTTTGATGCATAGAAAACAACACAAACAGACATTCAGTTTTAGCCCAACTTTAATGCATAGAAAACAACATAGACAGTGAGTTTTAGCCCAACTTTGATGCTTAGAATCTACACATTGATAACAAAAGGGTAGAACAGAATACTGAGCTAAGAGATCAACCAACATGAGAAAGAAGATGACAAACCTGGTCTGTTTTGATTATGTAACTGCTGTGCTAACAGGTTGGAATCAGTACTGACACGATGGTACTCCATGGGCTGAATCTCACCTAGAGCTTAAAGGCAGAAAGAAATAGTTCAAATGTTAGTTAAACTTGGTTTAAGTTAACATTTAGCTAGAAAAAAAAAATCACTGATTGTTAATTAATCATACATGTAATTGAAAATAGTGTTTGAACCGAGCCAAAAAAACAAAATCTAATTGTGAAGTTATTGATGATTATTGAGCATGTAGTTCTGTTTATACATTTTTAAAATAATTATTTAGTCTGCTTTAGTTTTACTAGCAAAGTAAATTAAACTGTCAAGAAATTTCAGATTATGAGAAAAAAAATATTTTGATAAAACTATTTTTCAATCAAATAAAAAAATTAAATGAAGTTATACAAAATGTGAAAGGGGATAAAACAAAATAAATGAAATTGTTAAATGTGAAAATGTGCTTAAGATAAGAAAATGAGAAAATTCTGTTTTGATTATAAGTATAAACTAAACTCTGTATTAGCCAAATTTTAGTGTTCCTTTACTTTATTCAACAGTTAACATTTTTACAAAAAGTGCTTTAAACTATGATGTCGTGGAAAAAGAAATTTTTTAGTTCATTTCTTCAGTAGCTTATTTATTTTAAATTACTATTAAATTATTAGGTATAATAATGTGTATAAGTGTTTCACATGTTACATTTGGGTAAAAACTTAGTGAAGGATGCAATGTTAGAAAGATGCAAGCTCTTTAGTCTGGACCTACCATCTCTCTGTCTGGACATGGCTACAAGGTTGTCAGGTACGGTGCTGGACGTGTGGTAGCCAGGGTGGTAGCCCGCCGCTGCAGCAAACGGGGCATGAATGGGCTCGGGGGAGTTGTCATGGGGGGAGCCCAGGTGAAACATGGTGGGCATCTTGTTAGGGGAGCCCATGATGGTAGGCAGGGAGCCGGGGTGGGAGCCGAAGGATGGGTTTGATAACTGCAGCGGGGAGAAGTGGGGGGAGTTGAGGGCTGTGGACAGAGGATGTGGTCAGGTCAAGCAAAGCTGGCTTTAAAATGATAACATTTTCAAGTGCAACTGCCACCAAACAATTTTTAAAACATGCAATTTTTTTTAAAAGTAGTTCCTGCTTATCAGCTTTGCGTACTATATTTGTAATTTTTTAAAAGTAAACAAAAGAATCTATAACTTTGAAATCTTAAAGACCACAGATGAATTAAAATAATTTTAGTCGTTGTAATGCTTTAGAATTTAGTAGTAAAATATTTTAATTGACAGAAATTTAACCCTGGATTGAATGTTGCATTAACTACTTGTTCGTTATTTTCAATAGTAAATTTGTTTTAATTGGTGAGTAAAAAAAAAATGTTTAAATACAGATATGTAAATCTTGAAATGTTTTAATCTCTCATCAATAATAGAAACTTTTTGAATATGTAATTATGGCATCAAAAAATTCTTATCTTACAAATAAACTGATTTTTAAAGTGATGGAAATTTTTAAAACTTTTAAATGCTGTAATATTCAATTATATTAGAATAGTGTTGATGTTTATCAGATTATTTACATGTATTCAACAGGCTGTTCTTCTAGCAGATAAGCAGGCTTTCTACAATAGATAGTGCCAATAATAAAATTTTAAAATGGTTTAAAACTGCCCATGTTAGATCCCTAAGCATTAGCCTCTGGAGAAAAATAAGCAGTGCAAGGCTACAAAAGTTGAGCTACATACATGGTTTTCTGTGTGGTGACCCTGGAAGAGTTGATGAGTAAGGTGGAGGGGTGACAACACTGGACCTTTTCCAGGATGGTCCATTTGTGTTTGGTGGGGTGCCAACACAGAATTGAACTGAAAAGTACAATTTGAATTGAATATCATGCTGTGTGGAGGTTAAACTGAGTGATTTTATATGATTGCTATATTGATACATATAAGAAAAAATAACACAATTAAATAGGCAACTGAACTATCATTTAATCAATAACACAATGTTTTGAGTATTAAATGCTGTTCTTTAGATTGTGATTTAAACAAGCATGAAAAACTGTGCACATAATGCTGTCATTATCTAATTAGCATTTTTGTTATTAGTTCAGAAAATAAACTGATCTAATTTAATTAATTGTAATTAATTGTTTACTTTGTTATTTAATTAGTTCTCACCTGCAGGGGGAGAAAACGAGCCAGCATCAACAGCGTCCACACCTGACAACCTGTTCTCTGAGCTTCTCCTTACTATAGCTAGTTCCTGACTGTCGCTCTCCTGTAGGAAAACACAGTAATTTCTTCTATTCTCAATGTGTTTTATATTTTATCCTCAATGTATTTTATCTTCTATTCTTAATGTATTTTATCATTTATTCTCAATGTATTTTATCTTCTTTTCTTAATGTATTTTATCATTTATTCTCAATGTATTTTATCTTCTATTCTCAATGTATTTTATCTTCAATGTATTTTCAAAGCCCGCAAAATGGGCTGGAGTCACAAATTGCAATGAAAAAAATGCTCAAATGCAAACTCATCTTGATGGTTCCATTTAGTCATATGTCTTTGAAATATTGATTAAAAACAAATTAACATTCCGCACTGTTGCATATTTTTCTGGTCACACACAACCTACAATTCCCACATATAACAACCTACAATTTCACACATAAAACAACCTACCATTCTCACATCTGGAGATTTCACTTTCTGCTTGAGACTGGAGTTGACATCACCAGCAAACAGACCAACACCCTTCATATCAGATGGCACAGTGATGGGGTCTGACTGCCTGGGAGGCGTGGCCATGGATAAAGTGACAGGTCTGCTAGGACTCCCAGGGGTTGCCACGTTCTCTTTGTTACAGATGGCGCCAGTGTTGCTCTGAATGCGGATGGCTTTAGGGGATCGGTGGGGTGAGGAGCTGTAGAGCAAACAGAAATCAAATATTTGAAATACTACACTTGATCTTTTCTGGGTATTTACGATGTTTCAGATACAGCGTACTTTTTTTAACCTAGAAAATTAAAATTATTTTCTTAGATATTTTAGTAAAAAAAAGTAATGTTCACTTTTTTAACCTGATGGTCCATGGGGCAAATGAAGTAGAGTTCACCTGCTACTGTGAACTCGGCATATGAAGGGATAGTGTGGTCACCACTACGCCCAAGAGATATTAACCCAACTTCTAATCTCCAATATTTAAAACACAATCTGTGTTACTTATAAAATTTGTAAAAAAAATTATATTCAACTCCCATTGCTATTTGCATGTTGTGTTCAAGGATTTAAAGTACAAAATAATTAAGAAGGTAAAGCTTAATATTAACCTGAAGGATGCCATTTCTTCCTCAGCCAAGGGGGCTTTCTTTATGTGTACACTTTCTTCTCCATCTAAATATCAAAGTTAACAACATTTTATCATTTATACAAGTTTACTATTAATGAGGGTATGCAATGAAATTTTAAACATTCAATTATTTAAAACAAGTTTATGTTTCATGGTAAATGCAAGGAATTTTAACACAAAGTTGTTTGTAATAAATGTGTTGTCTAGTCAAACTAGCCATGTAAAGAAACTTCTCAGGTGAGATACATCTAACCAGGTGAGAAAAAAAGTTGACCAACCTGACTCTATACATAATGCTTCTGGTACCATAACAAAATCCTGAAACAGAAATACAAGTCTGAAATATACTATTATTAAAACTGATAATACCAGTCTGAAATATACTATTATAAAATCCTTAAATAACTATCCTTTAATACACATAAAAAATACACCATGCAAAGTGTCAGAGAATTAAAAATCATCAACACAATAATGATCAAAGTCTTTGTCCTATTAACTAGAGATGTCTTCTAGAGAGACTTACATCAGGTGTTGAGCGTCCTGACCTGCCTTTCACCTCTTCCTTCTCAACCTTCGTGAAGCCAGCAGCCTCAGTGAGTGTTGTCACCATGTCCTCCTCTTTATTCTCCCTCACCTACATTGTAAACACAAACATCTATTTATAGCTCACTATTACACCATTACGAATGTTATAAACCACGGGTTCCCAACCTGGGGGTCGCGACCCCCATGGGGGTCGCGAAGGGCTTTCTGGGGGGTCGCCAACTGGTATACTAAACCTTAGTAATTTGAAACAAAACATAAATATTTAAAAGAATTTTTGAAATTCGGCTTTACTAACATCACTGGAAAGGGAATAGAGAAGAAGCAAAGCGTACTGTACAAAGTTGTTCTCAGTCACGAGTTTATGAAATCTTCAAAAATAAACGTCATTTTAGACGAGTCATTCGAAACACACAAAAAAAAGATATGGAGTTCTTTCGTCGGTATAAAGCTAGTTGCAAACGTCAGAGACTTGATCGAACAGGAAGTTTTCACCAAGGAAACACAGCATTAGTGCAAGCATCACATGAAGTCACGACAGAAAATGCCAAACAGAAAAAAAAAAACACAATAGGAGAAAAATCTCATCAAACGCTGCATGTTGAAGATGGTGAAGTTAATTCTTACATGTCCGTAGATGTTATTAAATAACACATTTTTATTGAAATTAAGCTTTCACCATTATTTGATTTTCAAGTTGATAAATCAACAGACGTGAGTTCGTGTTCGCAGTTGCTGGTCTTTGTCTATATTCATTCAGATGATAGCAAAGAAGAGTTGCTCTTTTGTGAAGTTAGCATGGAGAAAATAAATACGTTTTTTTTTTAAATTGGATGATTAAAATGGGTTAAAACGGCTGTGAGGGTTTGTACGGATGGTGCACAATCTATGTTTAGGTCAAAATCGGGCTTTCAGAAAGCAGAAAAGATTTAGCTCCTTAACCACTGCCCTCACCAATCGCCATCAAGACTCCATTGCTAGTATAAGTCGTAAATTATGTAAAATCTGGAGCCTTCAAAGAACTGAGCAAAGACCTGAATAAAGATCACGAGGTTCTGCTCTTCTACACTACAGTTCGCTGGCTGTCAAACGAATAGTTGTGAATCGTGTTTTTGAATTGAAATCTGAAATCAAATTGTTCTTGGAAATGCAAAGGAAACAAGACCTTTTGGTATACTTAAAACGACATAGAGTGGTTGGACAGAGTATCATACCTAGCAGATGTGTTCGAACATCAACATAAGCATAACCTGAAGCTTCAAGGAAAATGAACGAATATTATCACTTTCCATGATAATCTCGGGGCATTTTTATCAACGCTGCAAAATCGGCGAAGAAAATTAATCTTGGAAATATTGTAAATTTTAGAAACTCTGCAGTGTGGTAGATAATTGAAATTTTGATAGAAGAAATTTCTGGGCATCTTGAATCTATTGAAAACGAACTGCAGCGCTATTTCTCTGAGCTGAAAAAGAAGAATCTGCATTGACGCATTATCCATTCTCTTCTTCCCTCGATGTTGCCAGCATTCCCGATGAATTACAAGATGAATTCTTTGATTTGTAGAATGATTCCGCGTAAGATGAAAAACTGCAGACACAATTTTGGTGTAGTATTCACCATTTATATCCAAACGTAAAATTGATTGAATTTTCGAGAATATATTTTGAACACTATTTTTCAATTAAAACAAAATTAAGATAATGATAATGATAATGACATAGGTTGGCGTTAACAAAAAAAAAACTTTAAAAAAATAATTAACCGCGAATGTTTAGTGAATAGTATGCAATTTTACTCATGGTATTAAAAGTTATCAAGAGTAGTTCATATTGAAAATCTACTTGAAAATCTTATTTTAGTGCTTATTAATTTCCATACTAATTTCGGCTTTTTAATTCTATGGGGGTCGCGGGTCGCTTAATTTTTATAAAAGGGGGTCGCCACTATAAAAAGGTTGGGAACCACTGTTATAAACAGATGACTGTTATACAACACACTACTACAATTTAAGGTTTTTAAAATATAAGGATTATTTTTGGCTAATGTGTGATATTTCTTAGAAACAGATGTATCTACTTTTACTATATCTGTTAGATGTTTCTTGTAAACAGGTCAATCGTATAACAGTTTTGTGTATTTTCAAACAGATCTAATAAATTACATTTTGATGTGTCTTCTGAACAGTTTACTCAATAATTTAAAGCTCACAAACTGTTAAATGTTCTGGTTTAGTTTTTTTAACAAACTATAAAATAGATTACATTCTTTAATTGAAATACTTTATTCAATGAGAACAATAAACATTCTATTTCACAGTGAACAAAGATTTCACACCAATGCCGACTATAAATATTCACTTACGGAGGCTACTTTTGGTTGCGGAGCCGGTGATGGACTTCTTTTAGTGCGGGATGGCGATGGTGATTTACCAGGTGACTTGCCTGGTGTTGAGCTGTCAGAAGAGGAACTAGACCTGCGCTTTGGTACTGACACAGGGGGGGACATGGCTGGAACAAAGATGGACACACTTAGTTAAACATGTTCAATTATGCAATCATTAATTAGGCTTGAAAATTATTTTTTTTAATCAGAAAAATTTCTTTCAACTCTCTACTTTATTAACTAAAATGTTTATATAATTATAATAATTAACATCTTGTGTTTACCTTTCGGAGTTGGCAGTTGTAAAAAACTGTGACTGAAAAACTCCTCTGCAGAAGATAAAATAGTATTAAAAATTATTAACAGTTTAAAACAGTTTAAAAATTGTTTTCATTGAACCTATTTTTAAAAAAAAAATTTAACTAAAATTAATGTTGTAATTATGAAAGATATCCTGCGAACAAGTAAAAACAGAAAATTTACCAAACGATATCCTTTCCTCTGCATCTCTCTTCAGCATTCGCATCAGTAAGTCCCTCAACTCTGGCGAGGTACTGGATGGGATGCTAAAAAAAGCAATTTCAAAATTAGCATGATTCACTCAAGGTTTAGATGACTGTAAACACTTAGTCACAATTAATTATTCACTAGGCTTGTAATTTTAGATTTTAAGAATATTGAAGAAGAAAAATCCCAACATCTTTACTGCAGAAACAACTTCTTTAATTAAGTTAAAATTTGACGACATGATTGAGCAGGTACATAAAATTCAAAACTTACTTAGGCTTCAGGCCTGGGCTCTTCTCATATTTCTTCTTCAACTCCTGGCTTCTTTAATTAAGTTAAAATTTGACGACATATAATTGCGCCCGTACATAAAATTCAAAACTTACTTAGGCTTCAGGCCTGGGCTCTTCTCATATTTCTTCTTCAACTCCTGGCTTCTTTAATTAAGTTAAAATTTGACGACATATAATTGCGCCCGTACATAAAATTCAAAACTTACTTAGGCTTCAGGCCTGGGCTCTTCTCATATTTCTTCTTCAACTCCTGGCTTCTTTAATTAAGTTAAAATTTGACGACATATAATTGCGCCCGTACATAAAATTCAAAACTTACTTAGGCTTCAGGCCTGGGCTCTTCTCATATTTCTTCTTCAACTCCTGGGGGTTCTGGGCCTGGAACGGAGCTCTACCGGTCAGACACTGGTACAAGATGGTCCCTATGCTCCACAAGTCTGCTTTAGCACTGTACTTCACTGACATGATTACCTCAGGGGCCTGGAAGTTTACAAAACACAGAATGACAATCTTGTTCCAATCACGCGTAGAGCAAAATATAAATATCAACTTACTCCAGTCAACCAGCACAACTACAATAACAATTTTAGTCACAAACATGGGATAGTGTGGTCTAGCAATAGAGCGCAAGACGACTAACCCAAAAGTATCGAGTTCGAATCCGGGTACCTGTCAGTAGAATGTCCCTGAGTCCACCTAGCTCTGATGGGTATCTAAATCGCAATATGTGGCTATGCACTATGTGGCTAGGCATAGTGCCGAGGTCACAGAAACAGGTTAACCCTATTTCACTAGCCCCATGGACCTTCCAGTTCAAAAAGGGAACTTTACTCACTAATACAACTATAATACTAATTTACTTGTAACAGGAAGAGCAATATACAACTTTATTACCAACTTATTACTGTCAACAAATACAACTACAAAAACAACTTACTTTAGCTATAGCAACACACAAGAACAGTACCAACTTCTTTAAGTCACAAACATAGAAACAATTTAAAAAACAGTATGAACATTGAGATCAAATAATACATGCATTCAATAATTTTTTAGCTTACCATATACATTGGGGAACCACATAATGTGGTGGCCATCTCAGCCCCAATTATAAATCTGGCAAAGCCAAAGTCAGCTGATGAAAAAACAAAACTGAAAGCTTAGAAAACTTCAAGAAACAAATCTTTCAACAAATACAAATCTTTCAACAAATACAAATCTTTCAACAAATACAAATCTTTCAACAAATACAAATCTTTCAACAAATACAAATCTTTCAACAAATACAAATCTTTCAACAAATACAAATCTTTCAACAAATACAAATCTTTCAACAAATACAAATCTTTCAACAAATACAAATCTTTCAACAAATACAAATCTTTCAACAAATACAAATCTTTCAACAACTACAAATCTTTTAACAAATACAAATCTTATAACAAATACAAATCTTTCAATAAATGCTAATCTTACAACAAATACAAATCTTACAACAAATACAAATCTTTCAACACATACAAATCTTTCAACAAATACAAATCTTTCAACAACTACAAATCTTTCAACAAATACAAATCTTTCAACAACTACAAATCTTTTAACAACTACAAATCTTTCAACAATTAAACATCTTTCAACAAATACAAATCTTTCAACACACACAAATCTTATAACAAATAAAGTAACCTAGTCCCTGTGTACAAACACAATGCAAACATACAACACACCTATTTTTAGCAGCATCTCTGAAGGGTGGGGATACTTTGAGCCCTCATAGCACAACAAAATATTCTGGGGCTTCAAGTCCCTGTGGACTATTCCCTTCTGCTGTAGTGCTTTCATAGCTTCAGCTGAAATAAAATACAAGTCAAATAAAGATAATATCTAATCTTAACATTAGTGATATTTCTACTAACTCTAAACAATAAGTTTATTTTAATAAACCCACTCAAATACTACAGAAGCAATAGGCATACAATTTAAAGTATTAACAGCAAATCTTCATTAAAAGTAAAGTTCCCTGTTCAAAACCTGATGGCCTATGGGCAAGTAGAGTTCACCTGTTTCTGTTACCTCTGCATATGAAGGGATATGCCCAGCCGCCTTTATTTTCTCTAACATATGTTAGGTTCCTATCAGAGTAAGGGGACGTTCTACAGACTTAAACCTAGATTCTAACTCAAGACTTTCAAGTCAGCAGTCTAGCGCTCTACCTGCTAGGCCGTGCCATCCCATTACAATTTTCATTTCAAGTTATTTGATAGTTAAATTAAGTTTTAAATAAATATAATTATATGCACATTGTCCCCCTAATAACCCAGTTACTGCAGATTATAAAAACGAATGCCTGTTAAATATTTAGTGGGTTGGCGTATTCATCATGTTGACTTACCAATCTGTTTGACATATGAACACAAGGTGTCTTCACTGAGGGTTCCATTACCTAAAAAAAGAGGTTAAAGTTCACTTTAACAAACTGTAGTGGGCAAAAATAAGCTCATCACATTCTTATATTACACAAAAGTCTGTAAATAATCCAATGTCAACTTACGATGAAGACAGTCTGCCAGATCTCCTCCATTACAGTACTGAAATCAAAATTATACGTCTATTAGAATATAGTCATATAAACCTTTCAATAGTATAGTTAAACTAGGTTTTACAGTGTTTGTTAAAGTAAGTTAACCATATCAATGTTAAGACAGTGTAAAACTTACCTCCATAACAAGACAGACATCATCTTTTAATTCCTGGGGGAGAGGAAAAAACAATTGTTTTTAAAGCAAAACAAAGCAAAGAGTGTGCAACATTCTTGAAAAGCAACTGCTGTAGATGAACAACTGAGATGCAACTGAGTAGATGAAGATATTATTCACATTTTTAACCCCAGAGAAGTAATTAGTTAGAGGAAATTGTAATTATATAATGTAATGTTATCTAAAGTTAGACAACTTGATGAACCCGGCTTTGCACATCTATAATCTATATCCAACAACTTAATCAACTTGGATCTTTCTACCCTTCCCCTCATTCAAATTAACAATGGTATAATTATTGTATGTTTGTAATTCATTTCAACTTCCAATGCTAAGCAAATAAATCTCATCCTTGGGGGTGGGGGGCGACAATATATCAAACACAACCCGGGAGGGGATGGATATAGACTTGTGTGACATAAAAAAAAAAAAGAAAAGGGGCCTTGCTCTGTCTGTGGTCGTAAATAGTCAATAAATGTTAAATTTGTTAATTTTGAATTATGCGTACGATAAAGCAGGATAGGGGTGGCTTCACCACAAAAGGGAGTGTGTTTAAGGCTAAATTAAGCCACGTCTTTTTTATGTTTTATAGCCTAAACAAGAGTGTGTGACATGACTACTTCAGATCAAAACATTCCCAGCTTAATGATTTAACTTTATCTAATACGGTGCTGAACTTTTACAGCAGCAATAAAGGATGGCCCACAAACCTCGCGTTGACAGTACACGGGCGGCGCTTTAAACGAGACGCGCGAAACACGCCTGACGACCTAAACTAGAACACAACTCTTTTTTTTTTTAAAGTGGAGCCCGCATACATTTATTTTTAGCGCTGAGCAAGGCCTCCTTTGTTGGTAAACAAATCACAGCTGATACCGCGTCCCAGCCTACATGGCAACCAAGCGTTGACTTAGCCTACAAGGCAAGGGAGGCTACTCCTATTTTAACTACATGACCTTTTCTGGTTAAAAAAAATCAGTCGCAATTTCAATTTTAATTTGTTTTTCAGGTATTATCGACAATCCTTACGGGGAGTTTTTTTCCACACCTGTAAGAAAGTACATCTAGTTTTAAATTTACTTTTAAAGTTTGTTTATAATAACTGGACGCTTCGTGTTGTGCGTGACCTTGACATGTGATTGTGGTACGTTAAATAAACAAAAGAATCTTAACAGTCATATTTTTTCAACAAACTTTAAAATATATTTGATTTAATCAATTTAATTACACAATAAATAAAGAGATCAGCTTTGTTTTTGGTCAATCTAAAAACGTCCGAAATCAAAACATCATACAAAAATTAAAATCGATTTTGATAAAGGATTTTTTAAGACGCAATAAGGTTTATCCAAAGTAGCCTCTATCTACAGCAGTGGTTCTTAAACCTTTTTTTGCAGGTACCGAACCCCACCAGTTTCATATGAACATACACCGAACCCTTTTTAACAGTTATATCGTCCGCACTGACAAAACCCGATCGTGAATAATTTGAGTCGGGTGTGTGTCTTGACCTTCGCCGAGCCCCTGAGACCGACCCACCAAACCCTTGGGGCTCGATCGAACCCAGGTTAAGAAGCACAAATCTATACAAGTAGATCTTGAGTCACTGTTCCTGTAACGGCTGGACTGTTGACTAACAAACAGGCTATATTCACAATAAACGGGGTGACAGTTGGTTAACTGCATTGTAAACAGTTGCATAACTATGACAGGGGAGGTTATCTACGCAATTCGGGCCACGATATGTGCACTGACTACAGCGTTACATAATGGCCATAAACCAGTACACTGTTGTTGTGGTTGTACTAAACTCGGTAAATGGAGTTCAAAAAACATAAAAAAGATTAAACTTCAGGGAAGGGCAATTTCGAGGCCATCGTCTGACCTTGAACTGGTAACCGACTTTCCAGAATTTTTAAACGATTTATCAACATACAATTAAATATAATACTCTTATATGTGTATATATTACATAATTCGGTTCTTAATGATTAGCCATACCCATATAATTAAGTCAGGTAGAAGAACAATACACACGAGTCTGTCTCCAAACAATGGGTTAACTTCGGATAAAAACTAAACTAGGATCATTATTTATATACCAAGTAGAGTATCATTTCCGTTATAGGGTACCAGATGGCCATTACTCAACAACTGTAGCAACTCGCCAAGCACGTAGTCATACAAGTAATAGATCTACCTGTTATCTGTCAGTGTTTGATTTAAATGCGGTTAAAGCAGTGGCGTAGCGAGGTCGGGTGTCACCCGGTGCGGCACTTAATGGTGTCACCCCCCCCCCCCCCCCAGAGGCATAGAGACCCTTCCCAGGGACAAACTTTCAAATTTTCGATTAGCACCCCCCCCCTCAAGTTTTCGATTTGCACCCCCCCCCCCTCAAACTTTCGATTTTGCTATTTTTTGCCTTGGTGTCACCCCCCTAAATGGTGTCACCCGGTGCGGTCCGCACCCCCCGCCCCCCCTCGCTACGCCCCTGGGTTAAAGTATCGGTAAATGTAAATAACAGGTAGGTGGGGAAAGACCAATATAGCACATTTATTAATAGAAAAGGCGTTTCGCCTTTCCAACGGTGAGTAAAGCGTTTACACACGCCCAACTCAAGATCGTCCAATGTAAAGTAGCTTGAAAGTAGGTCATCGTTACAAACAAAACAGAGTAGATTCCCTTTGCGTTATTTATAGATCAACGCCAGTGATCGAGCGAGCAATGGAAATTTTTTTTTGAGGTCGCTAACTAACCGCATGACGCAATGTTAACATTTTGTGGCGCGATTTTCCGTTGCAACGAAAGTAAATACTCGGGCTCCTAATCCTAACACAGACTCCTGACAAGACAGCGACTCATTTTTACCTGTTCACCAGCCATTGTTTATTTTATACGCTTGCCATTGTTTTATTTTATTTGATTTTTTTGCAATATGTAATAAGGATGTTTAAAAGCTGTTGCAATCGTCTAATAAAATATAGTTTTTTTGTGTGTTTAAAATTTTACAACTGTTTAAACCGAAGGAAATGCAAATGGACGAACCATGTTAGAATCTCACCTATTGTAACAGAAATGGACCTAATAAAACCAACATGCAATTTTTTGCCTAAGAATATAATAACAGTGATTAGTCTGTAATGTTTCGTCGTTTTGCGCCATGCTGGCGATGTACATAGAGACGAAGTTACCATTACTTAATTAAACTTTGTGAATCTGGCCTGTAACATAAGCCTGAATAAGTCTGATTCCCAATGAGGAAAGAGGGGGGGGGCAGATAAGAAAGATGTACTGGTGTGGAGGGAAAATCGATTTATTCATTTCAATTCTTTCTGCAATGGGTTGCCGTTCTTAGAATTTTAACTTGTCTGGTATATTTAGATCTCTATGCCTTTTCTGGCGGCTGAGGAGTTGACAGAAGACAATCAGTTTCTTCCAGGCATCTCTTCGCCCCCCCCCCCCCCCCCCCCCGAACGAAATGAAATTTATATAGAAAATATATACTTTTAACAGTGTCCCCCCCCCCCCCGAGAAAAAAGTCTGGAAGAAACACTGAAGACAATGAACCCACCACCATTGTGTAGGTCTTAAGTCTAATGTAGAAACAAAGACTGACGCTGAACTCCACAGTAGGAACACATTTCCTGTTGTTCTTTTTTAATGACTGTCTTCATTCGTGATGACAGAGAATTAAGTAAACAAAAATATAAAGGTAAATAAACACAAGGGCGAGAAATAAGGTGTCAATGAAGTAGATAGAGACAACAGGCAGCATTGGCCTGCATCAACAATAGGTGGCGGATTTCATTGGACGAGAAAGGAAATGGGAAATAATCCTTAGGCCTAACAAGCATTTCAAACAATTGTAGAGGTCATGCCTAGACCTGGACACTTGGTAAGAACCAGACAAGCACACACCAGTGTAGCCATGGTGTCAAACAAAGCCTTCACATTCCCCCCCCCCCTCCCCCTACAACACAACTGCCTGGACAAACAAGTCTGGACGTTGGCTACACGAAATGAGGCCCAGACATTTTTACAAAACACCTGCAAATAGCCCGTTGTTAACAACGAAGGAAGGAAAAACTCGGCAGGCTGCCTCCTCCTCCCTTCCGTATTTACTCACTCACAAGGTCACGACAACACACCCAATCGATATCCCTGTAATGTCAGTGACGTCACAAATTCGTCTACACTGGCATTTTACGACACATTTTATTTAATTATTTTGTGCACGTTTAGTTGGTTGATTTACAAGATCCATCATATCCCCACTCTCAACACATACACACCGACCCCCCCCCCAACCCCCACCAAACTGCACTAGGATAGGAACCCACAAGTGATCGACACAGCAATGGCGTGTTTCCAATATCGATCTAGCTCAAGACCTTGGTCCCGCATCCAACACAGAGCCTGCCTGCTCGTTGTAGTTCTACTGGGGTAAATGATCTCGCTCTGGTCTCATATTGTGCCACGGCACTACGGGGAAAACACGTGTGAGAGCACTACAGGGAAAACACGTGAGAGCACTCCAGGGAAAACACGTGTCAGAGCACTACAGGGACAAGGTGTCAGAGCACTACAGGGACAAGGTGTCAGAGCACTACAGGGACAAGGTGTCAGAGCACTACAGGGACAAGGTGTGTCAGAGCACTACAGGGACAAGGTGTCAGAGCACTACAGGGACAAGGTGTCAGAGCACTACAGGGACAAGGTGTCAGAGCACTACAGGGACAAGGTGTGTCAGAGCACTACAGGGACAAGGTGTCAGAGCACTACAGGGACAAGGTGTCAGAGCACTACAGGGACAAGGTGGCAGAGCACTACAGGAACAAGGTGTCAGAGCACTACAGGGACAAGGTGTGTCAGAGCACTACAGGGACAAGGTGTGTCAGAGCACTACAGGGAAAACATGTGTCAGAGCACTACAGGGACAAGGTGTGTCAGAGCACTACAGGGACAAGGTGTGTCAGAGCACTACAGGGACAAGG